TCTCCGAAACTAAGCATGTTAGGACATTTATACGAACTTTTTTACTTATTTTTATCTGCAAAATATGCTGCCAAAGTTTCCGGAATCACCTCGTACGTAAAGGTCATATTGAAGAAGAATCAAAGTATAAAAAAATAAAAAAAATTAAGCGTAGTAATTGTCAAATTTCACATTTTCAAGAATTTTAAAATTCGAAAATTGTAAATTGGATGAGTCACTTAAAATAATTCTAAAGATTTCATTTTTAAATGCACTGTATATCGTAAACGGTAAGTGCAAAGTATACTAAGCTATATATTTTTGAAATTAGCTAAAATATGTCTGCCGGACCTTGCTAAAATATGTGGGGGTTTCCATTTAAAAAAAATCAAGATGGCGTCGTATCTGTCAAAATTGACGTTGTAAAAAATTTTAATGTAGAAAATCGGCATCCTCGCGAAAAATTACATTAAAATATCTTTTTACTATCTTAAAATAGAAAAGAGGAAAATTTTAAATTGGGTGAGACACTTAAAATGATTCTGGAACAATTCATTTTTAAATCCACTGTATATCGAAAACGGTAAGAGCAAAGTATACTAAACTATATATTTTTTGAAATTAGCTAAAATATGTCTACCGGACCATGCTAAAATATGTGGGGGTTTCCATTTTAAAAAAAATCAAGATGGCGTCGTGTCTGTCAAAATTGACGTTGTAAAAATTTTAATGTAGAAAATCGGCATCCTCGCGAAAAAATTACATTAAAATTTCTTTTACTATCTTTAAAATAGAAAAGAGGAAAATTTTAAATTGGGTGAGACACTTAAAATGATTCTGGAACAATTCATTCTTAAATCCACTGTATATCGAAAACGGTAAGTGCAAATTATACTAAGCTATATATTTTTGAAATTAGCTAAAATATGTCTACCGGACCATGCTAAAAAATATGTGGGGTTTCCATTTAAAAAATCAAGATGGCGTCGTATCTGTCAAAATTGACGTTGTAAAATTTTAATGTAGAAAATCGGCATCCTCGCGAAAAATTACATTAAAATATCTTTTACTCTCTTAAAATAGAAAAGAGAGAAAAATTTTAAATTAGATTCGAGACACTTAAAATGATTCTGGAACAATTCATTTTAAATCCACTGTATATCGAAAACGGTAGAGCAAAGTATACTAAACTATATATTTTTGAAATTAGCTAAAATATGTCTACCGGACCATGCTAAAAATATGTAAGGGGGTTTCCATTTAAAAAAAAAATCAAGATGGCGTCGTGTCTGTCAAAATTGACGTTGTAAAAAATTTTAATGTAGAAAATCGGCATCCTCGCGAAAAATTACATTAAACTATCTTTTTACTATCTTAAAATAGAAAAGAGAAAAATTTTAAATTGGGTGAGACACTTAAAATGATTCTGGAACAATTCATTTTTAAATCCACTGTATATCGAAAACGGTAAGAGCAAAGTATACTAAACTATATATTTTTGAAATTAGCTAAAATATGTCTACCGGACCATGCTAAAATATGTGGGGGTTTCCATTTAAAAAAAATCAAGATGGCGTCGTGTCTGTCAAAATTGACGTTGTAAAAAATTTTAATGTAGAAAATCGGCATCCTCGCGAAAAATTACATTAAAATATCTTTTTATTCTCTTAAAATAGAAAAGAGGAAAATTTTAAATTGGGTGAGACACTTAAAATGATTCTGGAACAATTCATTCTTGAATCCACTGTATATCGAAAACGGTAAGTGCAAAGTATACTAAGCTATATATTTTTGAAATTAGCTAAAATATGTCTACCGGACCATGCTAAAATATGTGGGGGTTTCCATTTAAAAAAAATCAAGATGGCGTCGTATCTGTCAAAATTGACGTAAAAAATTTTAATGTAGAAAATCGGCATCCTCGCGAAAAATTACATTAGAAAATCTTTCTATTATCTTTAAATAGCAAACAGGAAAATTATAAATCGAGTGAGACACTTAAAATGATGTCCCTGTACATGTTCAAAAAGATTATTGGCTATACTAGTTTTTACTAATTTTTGACTAGATCGAACAATGCACATACTTCCCCTGCACAGAGACTAATAGTCTCTAGAGTATACAGGCTCCTGAACCAGGCCGTCGCGTCGGGCATCTGTAGATCCTATAAAAAAGAACTTAGCAATTTTGTTTAAGTACATACCTAAAGTATGTGCTAGGACCTATTGCATGAACATATTTTAACTCCTACAGGATTGCTAAAAAAAACAGCGGCGAACCTTCCATTGATGCGGGTGATGCGTCGCATCCCTTCAAAATATTGGAATACGTTTTTATTTAAAAAAGTCACTGAGATCTCCTAGAATAAATTAAAATTCTCAGTAAATTTATTCAAATAATTAAATTCAATTTTTAATTATTTAATGTGTGTATTGGTCGAGCTTTATAGATAACGCTAAGACCTTCGCTAAACAATAAAAAATCTCTCGACAGTGCAATGATGTGAATGTCCTCGTCACATCTTGAACCCCGCCGAACGTGAGCCGAGGTCAGCAAACTTTTAGGTCGCGATTCGCGATTACGTCTCCCGTTTGCTGTTTTAGTCGATGGGTGATGCGGTTTCATAAAGACATCTCGTTCACGGTATAAAATAAAAGACATCGTCAAGATGAACGATTCGATAGTAGAGAGTTTGCTTTCTTCTTTCTTCTCCTTCATTTGACGAAAATGTAATAAAGTTTTCGCAAATATGCATACCAGAAGAATTATTGATCTTAATTTTAAAATTTAAAATCGTATACAGCTTTGTTTTTAATTCTGAAAAGTAATGTACAGGGTGTTAACAACCTTTCTTTTTATAGCATGCATAATTAAATATCTCTAAATATCTCATAAATCAAAGCTTTTAGACATATTAAACCCTTATATATAATAAAGGCCTTATTTTATGTCCTAGAATCCAAAAATGAAATAAAATACCGGATGTGTGTTCCATAAGAAAAAATATAACTTTGGTATGGATCTTAGTTCTGACATACCCTGTACATTTGAAAATAATTTTAAATGATGCACCTTGTCTTCCTACATATACCCATAAAATATTTTGTTTCTACATCTTTCTGTTTTTGTATAATTAACCGAGGCGAATGAGGTGCGCCACCCTGTATAAATGAATATTTATTTATTTATTCGTGTCAGAAACATCATCAAGATTACATTTCATATACATGAAAAAAAAAAAAAAAAAAAAAAAATATTATTTTTTTGTATAAATGAATGAAAAAAAAATATTTTCAGCTTTTTTTAATATTATAATAATCTCCAATGCGCGCTGAAATAAAAACTATGCTAGGTACTTACGATAGTTGGACTGTACTTTTTTTTACGGCATTATAAATAGGAAATAGGTATCGTAATCTTAGATCATACAGGATGATCAAAATTCGCCAGACTTTCTAAAATATTAAATAATTTTTAATTAAATACGTTTTTTAAATTTTATTTTTTTTTAATTAAAAAAAACACCCTGTATACTATTTTTTTGTTAGATGGCAAATTAGAAAATTAACATTTCTTGTATTTAAAATGTTTTTTAAAAATGAACATTTAAATGTTCATTTTTTAATCATGCATCTAAAAAAAACAATATACAGGCGTGTTCAATTATTATTTAAAAAAGACGACAAATTATTTGAATATCTATTTAAGAAAATTTGACGTAGTATGAACGCCCTGTATGATTTAAGATGTATGATTTAAGCAACCAACAATAGTAAATTCCTAGTATAGTTTTGATTCCAGCGCATTTCTTGAGTGTTTTTTATTTTTTTTTAAAGGCTAAAAAATATATATTTTCTATTTATTTATTAATATTTCTGAAAATATCAAAACATATTTAATAATATCTTAGGATAAGGTAAAATAATCAGAAGGGAAGTCAAAAATACAATAATATACGGTGTGTTCCACCAGAGACTAACCTGTTCTACTTAAAAACTTATACAGAGTGTCCCAGAAATAAGCGCAAGTATTTTAACTGGCAGTATAGTTCAACCCCAGAAACACGCCTATGAGTTTTTTTTCACGAAAAAAAAATTTGAAAATGCGAAATTTTTTGAAAAATATTTTGGAATTTTTTTTTAGTTTTTAGTTAAAAAACATAATTTCTTGATAATATGGCTACATAGGTATTAGATTAAATTTAGAAGAAAGAAAATCCAGAAAAGATCCAGTGGTTCTCAAAATTTTAGCCAAAATATTTTTTTTTTGGAAATTTTCAAAGTAAAATAACTCCGTTATTTTGGACTTATTTGAAAAACGATAAAAAGAAAATATGTTTCTTTTCTCGAGATCTACCACCCCTTGCACTATTGAGATCTACCAATAATGCACTTATTTCTGGGACCCCCTGTATAGATTCACTCACTCTTTTTTGAGTTACGTTGTAGGAGTTAAAATATTTTGCTAAAATATATCCAAGTATGAAATTTAGATTTGCTTATTACAAGTGCTCAGTTTTCTAACTTTTTTATTATAGGAGCTACAAACAGCCCGACGCGACGGGACGCACTGTTGCAAATTTATATAATTTTTATAACAAATGTAAGAAACTTCTATTTTTCATTATTTTCCATAACAAAATTGTTATTTTGTCCCCTTTATATTTCTTTTCTTTTATTAATCCTCCACATTTTAAATTATTATTATAAAATGTAAAGCAGCATTTAACAGCATTATATTGAGAAGTGTGATATTGCATATGCAACCAACAATACAAAAAAGGAATTTAAAATTTAAATGGCCATTATTTTTAAAATTATTTCCTGTCTCGCGGCCACTAAAATTTAAACAAGATCGGCCAAGGCCTAAAAAATCAGTTTTTTTGTTAAAGATAATGTATTGTAAACCTCTAGAACAAGCATAATATTATTAATTTGTCTTAAAATTAATAAGAATTAACAAAATTTATTCAGAATAAATTGATATAAAACTTAAAAACATATTAGATTTGTGTATTTCAGGTTCTATGTTAGAAATGGAGATGCCTCATTAAAGGAAGGATGTAATAATGAATGTAGAAAAAAACTTATAGAGAGCATTACAACAACAGAACCTTTTTAGACACAATAAAGTTTTTTTTTGTTCTTGTGTACCCTTATTATCTACCCTAATCACCCCCCCCCCCAAAAAAAAAGAAAACAAGCTACAAACAATTTACAGGATTTAATAACTTATTAAAATAAATATTTACACTGAACAACTTACACGGGTTCAAAAACAACAGGCTTAACTGCTAGTAATTCTTCTTTGCTTAAACCATCTAACATATTCACCTATAATTTGAATAAAATAAAAAAATTACCACGTGACTTAAAACAATTTTACTTACATGTTTCCTAACATAGAGAACTAATTCTTCTAAGTGATGGGGAGAGGCAGTATTCTTTTGATAGATACGTCTCCATATTGCACCGGCTAAAACAGTATCGTCAGAATTTACACCTTCATCATAAGCTAACAAAGCTGCTTGAAGTTGTTCTGACAACTGCATAAGAGTGTTTCTAGTGCCCGATACACTTGGAGTCTAAAATTAACAATTACTTTTACAAATCAGTACTTGCATACAATAATCCATTTTGACTTTTTATAGTATTATTCAATTACCCCAACTCGTTTTATTCTTTGAGTTACATCGCTCCAAAGGGCTTCTATCATTCCATTTCTTATAGCTTCACCATCAACTTCATCAGCCATTGCTCTTACTGACACCATCCATATATGGAGTTCGGTCAAAACAAACCAGGAATAGAATGTATCTGGAATATCGTACTTCTCAAAGAATTCCAAATAGTTTATTTTGTCTACAATGGCTTCATAGATTAAATAACCAGATGCTTTCGCTCTCTAAAATGTGGAAAAAAGGATCATCTTGTATACCAAAATTGATTCAACAAGAAAATAGCTACCAGAGTGTTTATCTTGAAAAACGGAATTTTTTTAAGGAACTTTTGAATAGCACTTTCTTCATTAGGGACACTTTTAACGTCACATGTAGATGTGAACCTAGTGTTTTGGGAAATTATATCATTTTTTACAGGAAGATTATCTCTGCTTATAGAAGTTAGAGTGTTCAAAAAGGCAGTTTGTTTTGAATATTTCAAGATGCAAAAACGTGACTAAAAAAAACTATTACTTTAATAGTATTAATTAATTAATGAAAACTTACGCCTCCGTGTCGTAGACTGCATAAACTACGCGTTAAATTCATATTTAAACAAAATATTATATCATATTTCTTTAAAAATAGTAATTTAAAAGTAAAAAATCTAAATTATAACCTTTTCATACTTGATTGTGAAACACAGACTTGAAATTTGAAATCTGTCAAAAAATTTGATACCCTCCTAGTGCCATCTATCTACTACTTTCTTAACGAACATTTTGTGTATTTCGCCAATATTCCGCTAGAGTGCTAATGCCAAATGAGAATCCATAAAGAGGTACTTTTATTTCAAATTTTCTAGTTATATTATAAACTTATGCGTATTTATATTATATCTCTCGTATTCCTCAATTTGTTCTTAATATATTGATATATAACACATCAGGATCGTTATTGCCACAAAAGTGTAATTTGAAGGAGAGACTTGGACTTCATGACCTTCCTTATTAGAATAGGCCACCAAGAATTTTATATAACTTTTAAACGTTCTAAGTTTTATATTGAAGCATATTGAATCATTTAGACTACTTATTTAGCTATAAAGTTACTGCTATTTAATATTTGTATTTGTACATTAAATTATTATTTTTTTATTTTTTATAATTTTTGTTGGTTATAATTGTAGTTAAATTAATAAAGAGTAGGATTGTTTCTTTTCTTATGTTTTTCTATAAATACGTTATAAAATGTATATAATTTATATATAGCTTGGAAAGATATAATATAATTAGTCATAGTTGTTTTATTATGTTTGACCAAAGTATTTTTAGTTATACTTTCATCAAGAAATATGGTTGGTCAGAAGAGTCATAAGAAGATAAAGAAACCCTTACAAACAACTTTGGGTAAAGCATCAAAACCCCCAGATCAAAATGATTTTTCCCACTTACGTAAACCAATTGAAACTAGTGTAAATAGCATAACACAAGTTGTCTCTTTATTAGAGAATGCTACAGCTGAGGTAAATATGGTGTTTCTATAATCTCATTTAATTCTCATACTTTAACTAATTTTATCATAATTTTAGGTCAAAAACTTTGTGATGTATGAGTGTGATATTATGTACGAATGTAGAACATGCCGAACCATATTTAGAAGTATAGCCAATTTTATATTACATAAAAGAAATTTCTGCAAGGACTTATTCAATCCTCTTGTTTATAGAAATAATAATATTAATACATACCAGGTAATGCTAACTAGGAGTTTTATTTAATTTACTAAAGTTGTCATTTTAAAATAGGAAAAAATCCAATGCAATAATGAAGAAACCATTCCTAGTACAAAAGAAACTCAGCCCTCGTTAGAAAAAATTGTAGATAAACTTCGTAAAAGGGATCAGCTAAGACAAGAAGCAAACAAAATTTTTGTAGCCGATTTAACTAATGATCCTGATAGTGGAAAAATCAAAAATATGGATGACCGAGAAGTAATAGGTTCAAATCTTAATGATATTATTTTGGAAAAAATTGATACCAACAATTCTGGAGTATTTCAAACAGTTTTAAGGAGATCTAGTGACTCTGACATAAGCGACAAGGATAAAGTAGAAAGCATTAAAACTGAAGTAAGAAGTTAAAAGTTTTAGAGGATATAATATAAAACATGGCTTATTTTTAGATAATGGAAAACCATAAAATTATAGAGAATGATGTTCCAATGTTAAATTCCAAAGGATATGTGTGTGGAGTAACCAATTGTAAGGGGGATCAAATTGAAATTTATCCTAATTATACACTCAATTGTGAACAATGCACTCAAAAGTTTTCCACGCACAAGTCTCTGACTAATCATATAAAAGTAAACAACTGACACATGAACAATGTAGTCAGTGTTTATATAAACGTTGCTTTTGTAGAGTGTTCATAATCCAAGTAGACTGGTCTATCTGTGTCCTTTGTGTAAAGACGGATTCGCAAACCCGTGGTGCGTCTACCGACATTTATCCAAGGTTCATCGAACTAGCAATAAGCAAATTAGGCGCATGCGCGATCAAATTAACAACAGTTTCATTAGTAGGGGTGAAATGGAATCAATTTACAAGAAGAAATCTGTTGAAAGTAGCGGGGAAAGCGTGAACAGCGAGAATCAGGTATATAATTATATGAGAATATACAGGGTGGCGGCCCAGCGTTACGAAAAAGCTATGTCAAGTATCTGGTTTTAGATTTTTACAAAATGTGTACATTTTAAAAATATTTTTGTGATATACATGGGGTTCCAATATTTCGTGGAATCAAAATAAGTTTATTGGACACAATTTACATCTATACCAAATTGCTTTGTTTGTTCTAACGAACAGACAAAGCTTTAAAAACAACAATCAAACTCTAAAAAAATAATCACACTTTTTTAGATATTTTAAGAACCGCTATTCCGATTTAAATGAAATTTTGGGTGTTTATATTTTGATAAGTGCTTTAACATTTGACTTTTACAGAAATCAATAAAACGTACGGGAAGGGTGAAAATTTCCCCCACCCCTATATGAATTTTAGTATAAATATATTCCAACTCAACCGACGATAGATTTTTTTTCGTAAGATGGTCCTTCTAGTATTTACGACGTTTTTTGTCTCTTGTGAAAAAACGCCATCACGTATACTTTTTGAGGAAAAATGTTATCTATTTTTCTGAAGTTGACTTCCAAAAAATGTTTTTTGTCACATATCAAGCTATGGAGGCGCATATTAATTTATTAGAAATTACAACAATATATATTACATTTACAACAATAAGAATTAAACAAAGTTCACCTTCAGATCTTAGTCTAACGTCAACTTGTTCTAGTTTAGTTGTGGAAATAATTTGTTTATAAAAATATATTCTATTTACCTAATATATTGAGTGATTTATTTTAATGATAAATCTTAAAATTCTTGTTCTTGACAGTATAACAAATTATATTTCACAATAAGCTTCATAAAAAGCTTAAAAAAATAATAAATTTTAAATTATTTACCATTTGGGTTTATTTTTGATTGATGCCCTCTAACGGACAAACGAAGGATTTTTATATAAAGGTAAATTATGTACAATTAACTTTTGATTTAAAAAATAGGTAGTTGTTTTATGGCTATGGAATATTGGAACTCCCTGTATATTTTGTAAGTGAGCTTTAGAAAAATACATTTTCCAAAATTGTTTTTCAAAAACTATACGATGTGGCGTTTTTTTATGAAGAGAAAAATGTAGTAAATACTAGAGGGGCCATTTTACGAAAAGAAAAGTGTCGTGAGTGGAGCTGGAAAATATTTATACTAAAATTTATGTAGGGTTGCGGGTAGTTTTCCCTTTTCCTTACGTTTATTTGATTTTTGCAGAAGTCCAATGTTAAAGCACTTAGCAAAACATAGACACATAAAATCTCATTCAAATCGGAATAACGGTTCTTAAAATATCTGAAAAAATGTGTTTATTTTTTTTCAAGTTTGATGCCCTCTAGCGGATAAACGGAGCATGTTTTGTATAGGGGAAAATTGTGTATTGCATAGTAGTTATATGTTCACGGAATATTGGGGATACCCTGTATTTATCAATACTAGACAGAAATGAATATTAACTTCTTATTCCAAAAATATGTCAAAATAAATGTCATTCTAGACTGAATGTCAATTTCATTGTATCGGGTGGTACATCGTCGTTGGAAACAGGGAATCCCCAAGAACGGTAAACTAATAGGATTGCTCATCCTCATAAGACGTACGTTCGCCTCTTCCCGCGCTTCAGCTGACAGTTGTGACGTCATTGTAGCCCTTGTCAAAGCTTTCGTGGCCTTGTCATGATAGTGTGTATTATTAGTTGCCTATGGTAAACTTATAAAAGTAACAGCTGAGAAATTTTGAGTTAATTATTTTGTCAATTTTAAATGTGAAAAAGGTGTCTTTAAAGTTTTTAGAGCTATAGAGTGTATAAATACGTTCATTTTGTGTTGTGGATTGTGACAAAGTGCATACTAAGTGCCCACGATTTTGTTTATTAATTATTTTAAAGCAAAATATGGAAGTACTCTAAAAAGAATGCTTGCAAAAGGTGATGCTGGGAACTGCTGTTCTTAAAAATGCATTATCCGAGTATTTAATACGATTTATACAGTTAATTTTCTATACTGCATACATATAAGGTGTTTAAGTAAATAAACTAAATAATGAATGTTTTGCATTCGGTAACCAATAATGCACATGTGTGTATTATTGGTTGCCGGATAAGGACTAATAACCATGACAAGGGCTACAATGACGTCACAAAGCGAGTAGTTTTCGCATGCACCTGGCGGACACTTTTGGCTGAATGAGCAGTCCTATTAGGTTAACTGTTCTTGGGGAATCCCGTGCAAATTTTGAACTGTCCAGATATTGGCTCCCCTATTGATTTTATAGCGAAGTCGTAAATAGATTTTTTAAAAGGTCTATGTTTGGAAACACACATGCCAAATTTAAACAATTTTGGACAAGCCAATTTTAAGTACCTAATTTGAGAAAAATTTAATCGATTTTTAAATTAAAACTGAATAGGTAACAATCAAACACCAGTCAAAAACCGACATTCCTTGAGTTGTCAAGGTCATTTTCAAACGTAACTTAATTTTAATAAAATTGTAATATTCAGTACTAGTAATAATTTATTGTTATACACATAAAGAAAAAGTGAGCATGATAAAATACGCGGGAAATAGCTAGACTAATAATGCCTAAATATTAAAATAAGCCCTGAATATTAAAATTTTATTAAAATAAGTAATTTATACTTTACACAATGACAAACTTATAGTTTGTAAACCTAAGGTGTCAGTTTTTGACTTGTGTGTGATTGTTACTGGAGATGGGAATTCTAGTTCCTTGGGAGGAACTAGTTCCTTGGGAGGAACTAGTTCCTTAGTTCTAGTTCGTCCAGAGGAATAGTTCCTTGAACTAGGTCTTTAGTTCATAATAGTTTCCGACTAACATTGACATCCCCGTTGCCTGCTAATGGGTTTCATTGCCAGTCAGAACTCTTCTCAGTAGGATCTGTATAATTTTTATAATGTACGAAACATAACGAGACGTGTAATTGTGTATGTTAAAAACATATAGGTAAGTTTTAATGCAGATAAAAAAATTAAAAAAGAAATTCAAATCAGAGTTTAAAAAACTATATCACAAATCAATTGGAGCAAATATTACGAAAATTTTATGAAAAATTGCATTTTTTCCTCACTTCAAGCTTTTTGTTTTTGTCTAAAAACTTCCTTCTGTAAGATATTTCTTAATTTTAGGGACCTAAAGTGAAACATTCCCATAAAATATTTAAAGAACAAACTAAAAATCAAAAACAGTATCCACGACAATTTCCTGTGGTAATTACGCCGGCTGTGGCAATAGACAAGGCCGAATCCATCGTCGTCGCCTTGTATTATATATCGGATCTGCCGACTGAATAGATTCCCGTGAACTAGTCTTTTATTTCGTTCCTCTAGGTCCGGATCCAATAACATACGGCTGACACTCCTCACGCCAAACCAAACCAAACCGAATCAAACGCGCTGGGCGATCCGTACGTAAACTAGTCTTTTATTTAGTTCCTTTAGGTCCGGATCCGATAACATACGGCTGGCACACCCCACTCCTGCCTAGCATCGGGCTACGCGCGCTGGCCGATCCGTCCCCGTTGCATATTATTATATTATATCGGTCACAGTCTCGATCCCGGAATAGGTTCTGAGGAACTAGTTCTTTGAGAAACCAAGAACTAGTTTCTTTCATTCCGGGGCCGGAATAGTTCATTGGAACTAGTTCGTTCAGGAACTATATACACACCTCTAATTGTTATCTGTTCGGTTTTAATTTAAAAATAGATGCAATCTTTCTTAAATTACTCAAAATCGGCTGGTCCAAAATTGTTCGAATTTGGCATGTGTATTTACCACATACATAAACCTTTAAAGCGACTTCGCTGTAAAATCAATAGGGGAGCCAATATTTAAACAGTTCAAAATTTGCATGGGATTTCCTATGTCTCCAACGACGATGCACCACCATATGTCAACTAAGTGAAACTAAATAAAATACACTATATTTCATAATATAAAAGAAGAAAAAGATTAAACGGCTCAGCCCTCAACAACTCGTAACCGTATACACCAGTGTACACCAGTGCAGACACGCACACTCACACAACCACACCTACACTAGTGTACACTGATGTAACTGCCTTCAGGCTTCATCAGTACGGTAAGGAATCAGGAAGCGATGAAACTGAAACGAGGCTGATCCGTTTAATCTTTTTCTTCTTCTTTATACATTTCCCTCACTATTTCTTTCTTGTTTCATAATATATACAGTGTGAGCCAAAATTTTATATTGTATTATTCTTCAACATTTCTAATGTAATTTTAAACCACAAAATTTTGTGGTTTAAACATTATTTTTAGATCCAAAATTAAGTGCTGGAAACACGAAAGAATTAAATCCAATACTGTTTTTATTATGTAAAATGCAGGGTTTGGTTTGGTCGTGATTAAAATAGCGGAGTAAAATACAATATTTAGTTGTGATTTACCTTGTATAAGTATATCAAATAAAGTAGTACATCAAATAACATTTTAAATTTTAGTAGGCTTTGACGTCGTCAAGTCTGTAAAATTCTTAGGGCTTGTTGTGGACAATTCTCTGAAATGGGACATACATATCGAAGCTTTGTCGAAGAAATTGAGCTCTGCCTGTTTTGCATTAAGGTCTGTTTCTAAGGAGCTTAACTTCTCAGTGGCTAGAACTGTTTATTATGCACTTTTTGAGTCGCACCTCAGGTATGCACTTCCATTCTGGGGTACGTGTTGAGCGACTCAATTTGACCGCATTTTCAGGCTCCAGATGAGAGCTGTTCGATATTCACTGGGACTAAACAGCAGAACTCATTGCCGGGACTTTTTTAAAAAATTAAAAATATGGACTCTTCCTTTCTTATTTATATTTGAATCCGTTTGCCTAATACGTAAACATGTATCAGCTTCTCAAGAAAGGCCATCTCACACTTATCCACTCAGGAACGCGGAGCAAGATCTTTATCTACCTACCCCACGCTCAGAGTTAGTTAAAAGTTCAATATTATACAACTCGAAAAAAATGCACAATCACCTGCCATTTGAAATCAAATCCCTAACATCATTTTTTTCATTTCGCAAAGCATTGAACGCTTATTTACTAGACAAGGCTTTCTACGCCTTGTGAAAAATGAATTATATTTTGAAAATCAAATTTGATCTTGTAAACACTGGTCTAATGTTTGCTATTGCTATATTTACTAATGACATCGAAATGAATTTATTTAGAGGTCATTGATATTTTACTATAAACTAGCTAAATATTTTTGAATATTATTTTTATTTTTTGTTCTTTGACATTATAAACATTTATAAATGTTTATTTTAACAATAATACTGATAATATTATTTGTATAATGTTTTGTATTATCTTTTGTTTGTTTGTTTGTGTACCTTGTTTTTTTTTACTTTGTTAGTTTACCTTTGTCTACAAATTGAAAAATTTTTTGACAATAAAGGCATTTATTTATTTATTTATGAATTTTGAAAAAGGAACTTTTAAAAGAACTGACAAATTTAGTTTATAAATATAGATATGTTTCAAAAACCACTCAGTATTAGGGTTACTAGATTGTCATAGCTAAATTCCGACAGGGCAAAAAAGCGATAGCAAAACAAACGGCGAGGCTCTAAAAAATACTCATCACCACTTCCTTCATAATTCCACATTTGCGGCAATAGTGTTTGGATACTAAATTAAAACTAATCATGGTCAAAACAAGACATGTTTTATTGACTCAAGCGCAAGCATAAACAAAGGTAGTTATATATTATTACCAAAATAATATAAATGAAGGCAAAACATTAAAAAATGTGGAATAATGATGGAATAATAAAAAATAATAATAAGTGTGTATTTTTTAATTTTGTGGACTCTCTACCATTTGATTTTACAGTGGCGTATTCAGGATTCATGCCTGGGGGGTCAATAACTCAATATCATATACCTAAATATATATTTTTTTACATTAACAAGTAAGTACTTACCTAATTACAGCTAGGTACTATATAGTAATTAGTAGGAATAAATAAATAAAACATATGTTTCTTAGGAAAATGGCTTAATAAGTAACATTACATCACAAAACAATAAAAAATAATTATTAACACAAAAATTAACCAAAAATTAAAGAAACAAATAACAAAAGAAGAAGAAACAAACAAAAGGCCAAGTGAATGCAGAAAAAGCACAGATACAAATAAAATTAAATAACAATATCCAGCTTTTTGGCTTTTACCAATAAAACGTTTACATGAATTTTTCTATCAATAAATTTCATAGACTTGGTTATCAAACAGTGTTCCCGTAGATTACCTAAATACCTACAACTTTTCTAAAAAAATAAAAATTAACACATTTTTTGAACACAATAAAATAATATTAACTAAACAAAACTAGAAAACGTCATTTTTACTGCATCACAAGCAAATAAAAATTAATACTTAGCCAAGAGTCATAATTCAGGATTTCGGGAAGAGTCTTAATTCAGTCATAATTCAGGATTCAGGACGGCTCTAGCATCATAGCAGTACAGCTGGTTCCAAAAAAAATGAATACGACTCTTTACACATTCTTTTCGAATATTTGAGCAGTGTATATTTATGTGTCAAGTATTTTGACATGTTAAGGTTATTGTGACATTGTATAAAACAACTTTGCTTTTGAGAAAGTGGCAAATACATTTTTTAGAACGTCAGCATGACATGAGTAGAGAAATGGGGGACAGGTATCATAGAATATACTGCCCGAAATAATAAAAATATGTTTTAAATCGTAGTCAATTTTATTGGAACCAGCCTTTGAATAAGAAGACTAAGGAAGAAGCATAATGCTATCCATGTATTCATGCATGGTGGGCGGAAAAGGCTCCATAAAAGCTCTCTAGGGTGGGGATCCTTGACAGTTCTGTTTGACGATTCATTTGACACATTTGAATTTGATTTGAAATTTTGTGGATTTGTCAGTCTTTATGGAGCTTATTTTATGTTATTTATTATTTATTCTACTACTGATAGTTGTATAAGGGTAGTAAATCTAGATGGAAATTGTGGCAGAACTTAAATTAACAGTGACACTATCGCGATTTATCGAAAAAGACTCTAAAATAGTTGGTTGTGTAGCGTGCGGTAGATCTCGGCAAAAAATTGAGTGAAATAATGGAACAACTTTTCGCTAGTAAGTGACTATATAATATACATACGTGTAGTAAACCGATTATTTATGAAATTCACTTAAATTAACTAAATTATATATTTTTCTTGCATTTTAGCTTTTATTTATTACTTGTCAAAGATTAGATGTCAAAGAATTTAGATACGTTAATTTGACTTACCTGCTTCAGTAGCGTATCGGATGTTTGTGTTAATAAATACTTATTATAACTTATCTATTTTTATTAGAATTATATATTTTTATAACAATTTTAATAACTACCAACATTTATTCACAACGTAAAATAAAACAACAAATTATTGAGTCTACCTCACGTCTACCCTACATCATAGTTTTACATTTTTTAAATAAAATTAGAACGACACTGATAAACCGGAATTTAAGTTGGCCATATTTGAGGCCCATCGCGGTGTACCTAAGATTTTTGATATGCTCCTTCCTTAGTCTTCTTATTCAAAGGAACCAGCTGTACCTTGCTACTCCCAAGGCGTTAAACGCTATATACGGGAGCTATTATTATTATAAAATTTCCTTTCAGGTGTTGCCATACTAACTAGTAAAGTGCAAAAAATTTTTACTAAAATAAATATGTTCAGAAATAGTTCTTTATCACATATTACCAGGGCATCGAGTGCAGAACTTGGGTAGTCTTCTGGTGCATAGTCTTCAAATATTCTATGCCAGAGCCAGTGGCGGATACAGAGGGAGGGCCCATGGGGCCCGGGCCCCCCCTAAAGTCTATGAATTGTGTAAAATATTAGGCTTTTGGGTTAAAAATGGCGCCCTAAAAAGCATATTCTACATTGCTTTTCATTTTGGGCCCCCCCTAAAATAAGTTCCTGCATCCGCCCCTGGCCGGAGCTTAAATTCAGCCGAAACTACAGAAAATGAAGAGTCGTTTTTATTAAAATCTAGCATATATTTTAGATTCGATACTTCATTATCGGATTTTTTATTTAAAGAGGGTATAAGAGAGTAATACTACGTGATCTAAAAAAGAAATAAAGATTGATAATCTGTAACAATCTTGAGCAGTTTCAGTTTTAAAATTCGGCCTGTTTTTTTGTCTACTGGTTATTCGGGGTTTTTTTATTTCCTGTCCAAACAATTCGTTCATGATTCTGTTTGCTTTTGTAAAAATATCTGCGAAGCTGGTATTGAAATTATTGTTTAAAATATAAATTGGACCGGCGCGCGTTGTGTCTGGAGGGGGCAATTGTCCCCTTTGCCCCCCCCTGGATACGCCACTGTATTTTATAATTTAATTGACGCTTTCCGGGATAGTATAATGATTTTATAACCCTACTCAGTATAGATATGACATCATGGTATTTTTGAAAATCTAAAACCAGAAACCGCTGATTTTTTTGGAATGCTGAGCCACTCTGTATGTATTTGTTTTATTAATCCTTTATCTCTTATCTAGTGGATTAACAACATAGAAGAAGACAACGCCTTTCAAATGTGTGCCGGTTGTGGTAAGCGGTTCGAGCGTAAGGCGGCTCTGCATTCCCACTCCAAGATGTGCGCCAAGCGATTGGAAGTTTGTAACAGTATCAACGAAAACGCCAAGAAGAAGGAAGAAGAAGAGAAGGCCAAGCAGGACAAACTGTCGAAGGAAAAAGAGTTATTAAGGGGAGCGTCGAAAAGAAAAGCGCAAAATATTTATTTGTACAGTCAGAAACCGAAAGATGCCTCGCCTGAAAAGGACCGTAACAAAGAAACACCACCTCCCATTTTAGTACCCGAGATTGATCTTGATGACCCTGTAGATAAGAAGTCACTAGATATCAAGATAGTAGAAAATAAAACCGAGGTTTGTGATAAATTAGGTACCCAGGTAGTTATTTCTGAGATAGACATTACCGAGAGTGATAGTAATGAAAGTAGTGAAAAATGCGCCGCAGAAAAAGAAATAAGCGATAGTGATTCGACTCTTTCTAAAATGTTTCAAGATAGTAGTCCTACAAAAAAAACTGATGACCTTTCTTTTGAATCTAAACAGTCGAGTAGCAAATCGTTAGGTAATAGTCCAAAATCAAAAAGTACCGAAGATCTTCTTTGCAGTAGTGTTAGTTTTGAAAGTTTTTGTCAAAAAGTAGTTGACGTTGACCTGACGGATACAGAGCAAGGTGACGTGAAAAAAAGAAAGCAACCTGAAACGGAGATTGTCATTGATGATGACGACGAAGATGTCATTTTTGTTGGCATCGAATCGTCTCCAAACGTGGTCTGTAGTCAAGTATCGAAGAAAATGAAGTTCTCGAACGATGCTGGCCCAGTACCGGAACGGAACAGCGATAATTTCGTTCTTTTGGCCGCTCCCTACATGGACCAACAAAGACTGATCTGTATGCCGTGCGTGGCTACGTTCCAAAATCTCGATCTGCTCATGTGGCACATGTCGGCGCATTTCTCCTGGTTCCGGTACCAATGCGCCAAATGCACGTTCGTCACATTCAACCATAACGACTGTCTCGTGCATCTGATTCAGGAACATAACCTTGTTGAACTGGAAGCTTCCACTTTCATTTTGCCACTGCCCAATTGGAAAACGTTGCTGATGTCTCACGACTTCCGGTCTTTGAAAGATAGTCAGAGTTTTGGCGGGAAACACACCAACGAGAACATAAACTTAGAAATTATCGAAGAATCCGAACCGGTCGATAACGAATCGGTGGCAAGTGACAGCCGTGACTCGGACGTTATTTTATTCGGGGAAGTACCCAAGATCGCGGAAGACCAACCTAAAGATGTGCCGGATATAAAAGAAGCGAGAAAATTACGCAGATGTACTATAGATTTGCACGACGGTAAATCCGGAAATGATTTCCAAATTTTGCCCGAACCCATCGAGCTACGCATGCCTGCTGATATTTCAGATGTCATTAAGACTCTAGATTCCGATGCGTCAAGCGATTCTGTCGAAAGAACCAGTCCCGTATCGGTGATTTGCGATGAGTCGAACGACGATTGGGTTCTGGTCCAGACCAGAACGAATGAGGATCAAGTTGACGATGAGCATGACGTCGACGATTCGAAAGTTTCGATTTCGAATGTGCGACCTTGTAGAACGCGAACCAAGGTTAAGAACAAAGACTTTGTCTATTACGATCAAGACATAAATAATGTACTGAAAATTAAGTGATTTTTGACGCGGTTTGTTGAAATGTTGACTGAAACGCTCAAATTTGTTATCGATTTAATTGTAGGAATATATTTAGATACAGGGTGTTCAAATTTTTTTCTGTTTTGTTGAAATTGATTTAAAATTAATATTTCTGTAAATAATATCCTATCTAGAAACTATGCGGAATAATATGCATGGAACATTTTTAGTAAAGTGTTTTATACAAAGATATTTAAACTCAAATATTTTTGGTTTTATACATTATAATATTATTCAGGGATCTAGTTCCTATGGATACATGATATATGAAAATAAAGACTTGTTTTTGATTTGCAGTATTAAGTTTCATCAACGGTCACTACATATTCGTAGGTACCAGAATTTTTTCTACTATGTTTTTAAATACAATATTTACCATTTTTTATACAAAATAAACAGTAAAAGAGTCTCAAAAATCATTTAATTTTATTTTGCCGTAGGTATGTACAGGAAGGGATTTATTTAAATTTTTTGTTTATATTTTTTTATATATTTAAAGTTTATTTTTGTTTAAATAGTCTACCATACAGACTACTTGAATAGAAGCAACTTTAGTATCAAAATAATTCATAAGTATTTTGTAATATCAGGCACTTTGGCTTGTAAAGTTATTGTGGCTTGTACAAAACTTTAAATTGCCAGGGGAATCAATCTTGTTTCTGCGGTTTGATGTAGCAGCTGTAAAATTTGTATTTATATTATAATTATTTTGTTATTTGTATATAATAAAATAATATATTTCTATTTGTAATTTTCTATTTATTTTGGTGTTTTTTTTTAATAATCCTCTAAATATTACTAGTCCAGGTTCATGATTATATCTATGAACAAATGACAGCTAAAGGCAAGAAAATATTATTTATTAATAAAGTATTTTCTAGTAAAAAAATAGATAATAGTGATTCTCAGATGATTTTTAATTTAAAATAGGCATTCCATTTAAATGAATATTCCCCGCGCCGTGATTTAAAATTTATCATATTGGCAAAACTTACCGATTACTTTTTCGCTATTGGTTGGTACCACTGCATTTAAATTCCCATCAAAAAAATCACTTTATATCCCTTCTTGTCACTCATGCTCATCGTACATCAAAATTCAGATTTATTTAGTGCGAAAGAGAGAGATATGAACATATTCTGACATTTGTTAAGTTGTCAAACGATAACCTATATTAACATAAGATTTGCCATGTCTCTTGTGAAAATAATTGTTTTGTTTCGTGAATTTCAGCAATTAATTTAGCCTATTTCGATATCTGATGGGGCTAAATGATATTTATAATAAAAATAATGCCGTGTACTAAGTAGTGATTATAAAGTGAGGAGTGCCCGCATCTTCTGTCTCTTGTACACACAGTTTATAAAACTTGTATAATGGCGTCTGAGAGCGAAGCTTCTTGCGAAGAAGATCCGAATTTTGCTGTTATTTGTGCATTTTTAGAGAAATTTGGGGAAACAATGGGAATAACAAATGTGGACTTTTTTGAATTACAGTCTATGTTGGAAAATACCCATGAAGGTAAACTATTTTTATAGTTTGAAATTTCTTAATCAGTCATCAAATACATACAATCAAGTTGTAATTATTTTGTTTAATTACTATGTTTTACTAGTCCATTTTTGAATCTTATTTTTTCTGTGTATTTTTGTAAGAAGTACTTAATGAAACTAATAATTTTACTTTTATCATTTGTAATTATGGAAATTTGTTTTGTTTTGTAAGTATGCTTAAATCTTATGTTGTAGGTACATTTGATCAAATATTGTAAATGTTTTCTACTATACAACAGTGGAATTATCTACTGATTTCAGTAAATGTTCAATATTTTGAATGTATGTAAATGCCAAAACCTAACCTCAATACATGATTTGTTTATTTTTAAAAGTACTGCAAATTTGTCTTTTGCATTTGCTTTGTTTATACAGCTATTTTCTCTATTTTTATTCTAATACCTTTTTAGTTTCAAAAAGTTTAGTTGACTTGCATATAAAGCTTATAAGAAAGATAAAGAAATCGTTTCAAATTGAAAAATGGGAGAAAGCTTTAATCAAGTGCTGTCACTTGTTCAGCAGCGTGGAGGCTTGGGAAATAGAGAGATTTGGATATAAGAAAGCGAAATTATCTTCTAAAGTTAGAATTTTAAAGGTAATTACATTATTATATCCATGTTAATAATTATAGATGCCTTGGTTATTTTCAGGAGCTACTGGAAATGCAGTTTGATTACAATGCCAAGTTTAAAGCAGAAGTGAACAAATTATCTTCGCAAGAGTTAAGATCAGAACCAATTGGAAAAGATAAATTAGGTTATTCGTATTGGTTTCATAGTGATAATAACTGCCAAATTAGAGTGTATAAGGAAGATTTAGACGATGAAAAATGGACACTTGTTGCCAGGTACAATTGCTCCTATTCTGTATTTCTGTAATCTTTATGTATTTCTTGATATGTATATATTTAATTTGTATTCTTTGTTTGATTATGGTTTTCTATTTTATTAATGAACTTGTAGAGACAGAGAGGGTCTTGTGTCTCTTATAAACACTTTAAGTGATGGAGATATTAAAAACAGTTCTGATTCTGCTGCTAATGAAGATAGTAACAGTTTATCAGATAAGCCTTTAATTGACACAGGCCAAGTTGACACTGATTCTAAAAAAACTTCAGAGGATGAAGATAGTAATTTACAAAAGAAACAGGTAGGTAATATAATAATTATGTAATAGAGTGTATAGAAGTGTTAGGACTGTTAGGAGTGGTGATTAAATGTGAGAAAATATAAATATCATTACTCAGTTTATAGTTTAGAGTTTTGAAACTATAGACATTGTTTTTCAATCTAAAATCTAATTTTTAAATTCATTATTTGTAATTTTAATTGTCTTAGCAGTGACAATATTTTTAAGCAAAGGAAATGGGTATAAATATTACTTAAAAGATATCAATACAACTACATTTGTTTGAATATATAAATATGATATACATTTTATAACAGTGGTGGTAAAATAGGTCTAAAATATATCAGGACCATCATAGATATTAAGGAATCATAGTGGCACAGAATACCTTAACTATGTAGAAGTGACAGTAAACATTAGTTACTCTGAATAATTCAGAGTATTAGTTAATAAATAATAGTATAATAGTTAATTTATTATTATTAGTTGCATAATTATTATGCATACCAAATTGACAATTTTGACCTTGAAGCGACGGGAATGAGCAGTGTGTATCAAGAGATTTTACACTCTTGCCATAGAATAATAGCACAACCGTGTTCAGACGTTCACCCGTCGATCCACTTGCATCTTCTAACGTCGCTTAACTTCCGTGATCTATCGGGAACTGCTGTTGCTGAGTTTTAAACATTTTGTGCATGTTTATCCCTGTTGGCTGGTACTAACTATCAACTAAGCAAAATTTGACCGTTGGCGTCATTAAAATTATAGCCTAAAAATATGTCAAATTTATTTAAAAAATTTGTCCCTAAAAAAATCACCTGTGTCATTTCTGTATGGTTAGGTTGTACCGTATGATCGAATAAAAACGGTGTCAGCGATGGCTATGAATTGAAGATCGCTGTCATTTTGTATGTAAAATTAAATGGGGAATGTAATTGATGTTCATTTCCAAGCCAACTGGACTCCGTTTTTTTTTCGATCATACGGTGTGCCAATATTTAGAACTGTCAATATTTAATTATTGATTTAAGAGACATCTAACTTGTCAAACTACTGATAATGTGCAATAATATGTATAACGTTTATTTTGATTGAAAATTTTATATCAGGATGAAGACGATAAGGAGAGTTTAAAGAGGCCTAGAGAAGAATCTGAGGAAATATATCATAAGTATAAAATTAGGAATTTGGACGTTGTCGTATCAAACATTGCAGTAAAAAGTGAGTTTAGAGGTTTTCTAACAAAATAATTGTTTTTATACGTTTTTTTTGTAGGCGAAGAAAACAATGAAGAAGAGTCAGAACTTGAAGAAACGTCTGCCAAAGGTAGGTTTAAAAATAATAACATTAAAAATGGTAAATGAATTATGTTATTTTATAGATGCTAAAAATAGTAAATTGTCAAATAAGGTTGAGGACAAAGAACCAATTGTTGGTAAGTATCTATAATTATAGATTTTTGAATTAAAAAGATTTGATTATTACTATACCGGGTGCGTCTCAAAAGTGGCTCACCCTATAACTTTTTTATTTTTTCAGATAAAACAACGAGATTTGGTATGTTAGTATATGACATAAATTGGGATTGATTGACGTATTCAATTGTTTTCGGTCACTTCCGGTTTCACCGGAAATGACTACAACTTTTGATTTTTAAATGACACCCTCGGTTTTTTTCTACTTTATTCAATAGAAAATGACACTCTGAATCGAATGACATATCATATGTCAATTCTATTTTAAAAACAAATTCTATTTTAAATTTCAATCTAGAGTGCCTTGGCTGTGTTAAAAACACTAATTTTTAATCAAGGAGCCTTGGAAAAATATATTTGATTGTCTAATGTTTTTAGTGTCTTGTCCTGGCCGGTTAAAAGATGCCCAAATCGTATTTTTAATCATATCTCAATTTTTTCAAATGGAACGATGGTGGCTATACTAACATACCAAATATCTTTGTTTTATCTGAAAAAATAAAAAAGTTATAGGGGGTGAGCCAGTTTTGAGACGCACCCGGTATACAGGGTGTCTTAAACCACCATTTTCTTAATAATTTTCTCTTTTGAAGAATACATTTTAAAATTGAGTGAACTTTTATGTAAATCAATCATTTATAAAATTCAGTTTGGGAAAAATTATTTAATTTTTTTGTTATCAAAATAATTTTGATTTTGGATATTAAAATCACAGGATAAATTTTGATAAAAACTGTGCTCATTTATTTTATAAAATATAGTTTTTTTCATTTAAAACAGTGGATAATAATGATCGTTTTTATACCATGCAGCATAGCATGATATACAAGGTGATCCAGTGAAAAAAGATTTTAACTCCAATATTTTTTTCCAATATGTGGAAATTGTTCTCAACATGTGGGAATATGGGAATAGCTGCGCTCGTTTTTAAAATATTTTGGCAATATACAGAGCGACTCAGACCTATTTTCAAATTAAAGTTTTATATTTTTATTTGGAATGCTATATATTTTTTTATTAGTTATTATGTAGTACTGTAAACTACTTATGTAGACTTTTTTTGATTTCTAATTTTTTTGTTGAGTTATGTAACAAGGGGTATCTCTGTCCATCTTTCCGTATAAACCTTTGAATAAAGCGATTTAGGAAGGAGCATATAAAAAATCTTAGATCGACCGCAACGGGATCCTAAAATTGCCGACTTAAATTCCGGTTTATCAGTGCTGTTCTAATTTTATTCAAAACGTAAAAATGTAGTAGGGTAGAGAGAGGGTGGATTCTTTTATTTTACGTTGTCAATAAATATTGGTAGTTATTAAAATTTTTATAAAAATATACAATTCTAATGAAAATAAGTTATAATAATTATTTATTAACACAAACATCCGATCCGATACGCTACTGAAGCAGGTAAGTCAAATTGACGTTTCTGAATTCTTTGACATCTAATCTTTGACATGTAGTAAATAAAAGCAAAAATGCAAGAAATGTATATAATTAGTTAATTTTAAGTGAATTTCATAAATGATTGGTTTACTACACGAATGGTATATTATATAGTCACTTAGTAATGAAAAGTTATTCTATTATTTCCCTCGATTTTCAACCGAGGTCTATCGCACGCTACACGACTAACTATTTTACAGTCTTTTTCGATAAATCGCAATAGCATAGTATAAGGAAACTGGTAGTTTTACTCCTTGTCAAATCCTTTGTTCTTTTTCTGCCACTTTTATGACCTTGTTCTCGTGACCACTGACGTAGCTGTATAGTCGTGGTCTATTAACTAGGCAAAGTATAGTCGTGGCACTCGCCATAGTTTCACAGATATGTTTTTAGGAAAATATGAGTTCACAATGAAATAAAATAAAAAAAATTGATCATCGAGTATAAACTTGCTTGAAAACAGAATATTGTCACATTTCGTGTAGGTAACAATTCTTCTATATCTAAAAATCTTCTGATGGGAATAAATGCGGAAAAATATAATGACATATTTTTATATTATTATCTATTTCAGAGATTTTCTACAACTTTTTTTTGATTTAAAACAAGTTTAGTTTTCTGTAGATAATTGGATTCGGCATAAAATTCTGCATATAGTACACTGTCTTTATTTAAAGCACACTGCGGTGTTGCCATTCTGTTTATTATTTACTAAAACTTTGGGGTTAAAAACATTATATACGAAAAGTGGTAAAAAACTAGAGTGAATATAACTTTATTAATACTTAGCTATGTTTTCTTAAACATGAAGGATATCAGAATAAATTCGCGTAGAAAATTTACTTTATCGTATACAGGATATTTTTTATGGCGTCACCAAAATCGTAATATTTAAAATGCTGTATCTCATTTTTTTTTAAATGCAACACTTATTTGTATATATTATTTTTCTTTCAGATGTAGAATTAAAAGGTGAACATTTTTTGTATTTAAAGTGTTCTTAAATTTTTAGCCGTTTTGCAGATATTCGCTGTATTATATTACATATATGGGATTTTCAACGATAAAATATCAGACAAAGATCATATTAGGTGGTTTTGATAAAAATTTACTGTTGAAAGAATAATATGAAGGGTGTCGGGAGAAAACCATAGATGTCACAAAATTTTTAAAATTGAGTTAAACACTCCATTTTGTAGTTTACGGCAACTACTGTTAGCTCATGTATTAATATAGGAAGAAAACGCTGAATGTGCCGAGATATTACACTTTTAAAATATCCTATATAGGGAGAAAACCATGGATGTCCGCGCGTAAATGGCGAAAACAGTGTATGTCCACTTAGGAGAATCTGGTAAAGTTAAATTTTATTTCCATATGTGATTTGTTTTTAGTTGTTAAGTGTGTATGCACGTGGTCGGATCGTTTTCGTAGATATACTAAACAAAGTGATACAAGAAGTGTTTAATATTGTTTTCAAATAGTTGAATTATAATGGCAGAAATCAAGGCCATTGGTTTTAAAAGGAAAGAAAAAATGGGCAGGTTATACGAAGTAATGAAAAAAATCAGGCTCCAATCTCACGAATTTGGTAATTTTTGCAAATGCAAACGTTTAAGGTGCACTGACAAAGTAAGTGACAATAAGAGAAAAGAAATATTAGATCATTTTAATTCCTTATTATCCCACAATGAACAAAACGCATACTTGTGTTCTCTAATATCGTTAGTAAATATTCAGAGGCGTCGATCTAGAGCCAAAGATCAGCATAATGCAATGTTCCACGATTCGGTTTATATGTACATGGGTTAGGATCCAGTCGGATATGAGACAAAATGCGGAAGCACTATATGAGGAAGTACAAGTATGCGCTAAATTTTTTTTGGCAGTACATGGTATTACGGGGAGTAAACTTCAGTATTTACAAAAACAGTTAAAAATGAGTGGCAAAGCTCCTAAAGATCGAAGGGGTGGAGTAAACTATAACAAGTTAAAGCCGGATGTTCTAGATACTGTCCGCTGCCATATTCAGTCTTTTAAAGCACGAAAGAGCCAAAAAACGGATATTTATCTTTAAATATGGAAAATGTTTTCCATATTTAAAGATAAATATCCGTTAGTTAAAGTTTCTTATCAAACATACAAAGAGATTTTTAAAAGGGACTTTAATCTTAGCTTTGGATATCCGCGGTCTGATACATGCAGCCAGTGTGACGAATTTAACGCAAAGATGAAAGCAATACAAACTCACGATAGAAATGAAAATAGAGAATTTGAAGAACTGAACAGTCTTAAAGAACTTCATCTCCGTAAGGCACAAGCTTTTTATGATAGAAAAAAGGCATGCAAAAGAAAGGCAAGAAAACAAAATGATTTTGAAGCTATAAGCATGGATTACCAAAAGAATGTTTCGCTACCAAATATTACGACGAATGATGTCTACTATCGTCGACAACTCTCGATGTACTCCTTCAACGTGCATGTTTTATCAAGTGCTGACTCGTACTTTTATACTTACCCAGAGTTTATTGCTAAAAAGGGCTCTGATGAAGTATGTTCGTTTCTTTTCCATTTCATTATGAATTATTTGCCACCAGAAGTCCGACATGTCCACATTTTCTGTGACGGAGCAGGAGGGCAAAACAAAAACTACACCGTTGTAAGATTTATTCACTATATGGTTACGGTAGTTAAACGGCTTCAATCAATTACCATAACATACCCAGTTAGAGGTCATTCGTACCTTGAGTGTGACAAAAATATGGGCCTAATTAACCTTAGAAGCAGAATGGAAACACCTACCGATTGGGAGGAAATATCGCATTTTCTCGTATAAAGCCGACACCATTCCATGTCATTTCCGTATCTCAAAGTTTGGTGAGAGAATGGTGTAATTTTTTTAAAGAGAAATATGTTCAAAAATGTCCATTTGCGATGCAAAAAATGAAAGAAATATTTTGTATAAATACACATATTCGAACTATTTTCTATCGAGACTCGTACCATGGCATAAAGTTTGAAGATCCAATCCGATCTCGTGCCCAAACCCTAAATAATAAATTACAACCTTTCGAATTCGAATTACCTAGCCAGTCTTACTTCACATTCATTCCTATAAATGAGGAAAAATATAAAGACATACTGTTCTTATCAAAATTTTGCGAATCAGAAGACGCAAAAAAACTGTATGAATCCATTCCTAGCGGAAAAAAACTAACTCAAATAAAAATCCAGCAATACCAGGTTCATCGAGGGTAAAACCACCCACTAAAAGATTAGATATTATTGGTAAGAGATATTTCTAACATTGAAAGTCTAACAATAATAATTCACTTTAATAATGTTTTTTAGGTGGGAAAAAAAAGAATGGTAACCGCGCAAAGAAAACTGAAGATTTAGCAACACAGGGTTCATCCACGGTAAAACCACCCACTAAAAGATTAGGTATTATTGGTAAGAGATATTTCTAACATTGAAAGTTTAACAATAATAATATATATTATTAAATTATTAAACAATAATAATATATATTATTATTGTTAAACTTTCTTTTTTAAAATAATTATAATATTCACTTTAATAATATTTTTAGGTGGAAAAAGAAGGAACCGCGCGGAGCAAACCGAAGATCTAGCAACACCGGGTTCATCCAGGGTAAAGACATTCACTAGAATATGACATATCACAATATTGAAAATTTGATAAAATTCAATTCTATATTATTTCTAGATGTAAAACAAACACCGTTCGCGGTGCAGTTATTTGGCGAAGATATAAGAATAAAAAAGTGGCACTTCTTGTGAATAAAAGCACTTGTATGGAGACGGACACTCATGGTTTTCTCCGTTAAAAATTGAACATAACCTAGATTTTTTTGTGTTTAATTAAGAACTATGTTATATACACGTTTAGCTAAAACTGGCATTTAAAATAAATACATGTTTGCAAACTGTGTATTTTTTATAGATTTTTAAACACATTCATTCAAAACTTATAATATATCAAACTTCAAAATTCATTTCTCTCGAAAAGAATATTCTGTGACATCCATGGTTTTCCCCCGAGACCCTTCATATAATACTGCGAATATCTGCGAAACCGTTAAAAATTTAGAAACACTTTAAATAAAAAAATGTTCACTTTTTAATTCTGCATCTGACAGAAAAATAATATACAGAATGTTGCATTTAAAAAATATACCATTATAAATATTCCGATTTTGGTGACGCCATAAAAAATACCCTATTTAGAATAATGTATACAGAATGATGTAAAATAATTAAAAAAAAAAAATAAAACTAGCTTTACCATAACTTTTTTGTGATACCTTGTACCTATATAACATATAAATAAAACTTTTTTCACATCTTCGACAACGACGACGATATAGGACTTCCTCGCACTAATGGGCCACCCTGTATATTTACTGTGGTTTAAAGCTAGGTATGGCATTTTTCTTCCCTCAAATACCGTATGATCGAGAAAAAACGGCGTCAGCGATGGCTATGAAATGAAGATCGCTGTCATTTTATATGTAAATTTATATGGGAAATGTCATAGATCGTCATTTTCCAGCCAACTGGACGCCGTTTTTTTCGATCATACGGTATAAACTCAATATTTTGTCTATAATATTTTGAATATTGTTATATTACGACCACTTATAATAAAAAATAAATAAAAAAAAACATAAAAAATACAGTCCACTAAATTTATAAGAGATTATGCTATTATAAAATTCTTTCAATTCAAAAATATGAATAATTTGCAGAGACTTTAGATGTACAAAATATTTACTCTAAAATTGTTTCAAAAACCAATCTATATAAATTATCTCAGAAATTATTATTGGAATGGAAATTTTATGGCAAATCCCCTGACCAAAAGATATTTTCATTCGCATATTTGAGACAACCTGTATATCTAAAAAACTATTTTTAAAATTTGCCCACATGCTAAAAAAATAATAACATTTAATTAATTACATATCTCAGCTTCTAAAATAAACAAATATACTTAATTAAATGTTAATTAATAATTACTATCAGCTTGCCGATTTACATCCGATGGAAATCTAAAAAAACTAAAAGAACGATTTTTTGAATTTTTACTACAATTAATAGCAGCACACAGTAAGGCACTCATTTTTTGTCAATCCGTCTCTGTGCTGGGACGCAATGCTCGAACCTCGCAGCTCGACGGACGGAATTCCATTGAAACGCTTTGCAATCTGCCGATATTCTAGAGATTGCAAAAACTGGCAGAAAATATTTGCGAGAGTGCAACTACTCTTTTCCTTAAACTATGGCAACAGTGTCACTGTTAATTTAAGTTCTGCTACAATTTCCTTCTAGATTTACTACCTTTAAACAACTATCAGTAGTAGAATAAAAAATAATATAAAATTAGCTCAGTAAAGACTGACAAATCCACAAAATTTCAAATCAAATTCAAATGTGTCAAATGAATCGTTAAACAGAACTGTCAAGGATCCCCACCCTTGGGCCCTTTGTTCGTCTACCTTGCATGAATACATGGTTAGCATTATACTCCTTCCTTATTTTTTTCATTCAAAGGTATATAACTAATATCTCAAGAATTAGGTTCGAAAAATTTCGACGTAGAGCTCTAGAAATAGAAAGAAGAAAATACACTGTAAATTTCTAGTATATCTCTACATTTTTATAAATACGACATAGTTTCTTAATTTATAGGGCTTTCTATTTTTTAGGTGAGGCAATTGAAGAACCAGTAATGAAAATACAGGGCGAGGGCAGTGGCGCAGAGAATGATAGTCCAATATTAAGTGAAGCCATAGAAGAAGATATAATGTATTTTTTTGGTACCGGATCCGGTCAAGAGTGCCAAGGAGGAAATGAACCTAACCCAGAAGAGAGCAAAGAAGATACAAAAACTGATGAACAAACTGCTTTGTCAACAGAACACCAAAACGATAATAACGAAAGTGTTGGAAGTTCGAAAGTTGATAAGGTTTTGGATAGTAATTTGACTTCTAAAAATGATGTTAAAAGTGAAGACATTGTTAAAAATGATCTGTCATCTATCAACTCAGTAGATGCAAAGGAGAAAGTCATTGAAAGTAATTCATCTGGTAATTCTTTAGATATAAAGGAAGATAGTAAAACCAAAGACAAAAGTAAAAATGACATATTCAAAACCCCTTTAGATACAAAAAAGGAAGTTAGTGAAAATGAAGAAAAGGATAGAAATTTATTACCTAAAACCCCTTCTGGCAAGTTAGAAAATGATATAGAAAATGAAAAATGTGAAAGTAAAGAAAAAGATGAAGCTAAAACATTATCAGAAAATCTAGATGAAAAATTAAATGGAAAAGAAAGTTTAGCGGAAAATAAATTAGACAATAATACAAATAACGAAGAGAAGGTTAGTGATAAAGTAGATGAAAAAACTGATACAAAAGACCAATCTAAACCTGTCCAACATGAAAACCATTCAGAAGAAGAAAAAACTAATAAACAGACTGATGTAAATACTAATCAAATTACAAATGATTCAGAATCAAAAGATGCTATTAAGAATGATGTAGAGGAACAAAAAGCTCCAGTAATTGAACCTGTTTGTGTTAAAAAGGTTGCCTATGTATGTGGGAATGAAGAATCCAAAGAAACAAATGGAGAGGTGTCTTCAAAAACTGAAGAAAATACTGATAAAAAGGAACCTGAGTTGAAATCTGAAGTGACGAAATTGGTTGATAAAGATGAAGAAAAAGTAGTTAAAAGTAATTGTGAAAAATCTAATGGTGTAGAAGAGAAGAAAGATTTAAAAGATGTTGATGACAAAAATGGTAATTATTACTTTATCTCATTGTATAGTGTAGTCGTAAATATAATTTGATTTACATTGTTTTGTGATTCTTTTATCTACTGAACTTCTATTTAATTAAGAAACAACTAATTTATGTTAACATCTTCATTTTGCTGCCTTTACTACTGAAGTTTATTCACTCGGATCTCTCAATTGTTTCTTAAGAAAGTCTAATGTCGTTTAACCTCTGTGATCGATCGAGAACTGGCGTTTTGACGGACTTTAGAACGTTGTGTTTATATAGTTCATATCAAATAACTTTGTATCTATAAGCGAGATACGCCATAAAACACACGAAAATAAGACACCTTGTAATGAGAAGCCCATGCCAAGCTGAATCTGGAAATTTAAAAATATACAGGGGGTTCTATTTTAAAAAAAAAAAACATAAGTATAGTTAATATCTAAAAAAATATTTTTTTCAAAAAAAGTCTGTCTACGCAACTGCATACTACACGAAAAAGTGCCTTTAGAATGTTTAATTCATTTTTACGTGGTTGCTGAAACAAACTATCGAACATCTTCAAAAAGGACAAAATTTGAAAATCCCCCTGTAGCTTCGAAACCGATCAAGATAGCCACGATCCGTTTGCGCCATTGTGATTTTTTCAAAAAATGAACCGAGACTGCAGTATCAAAATTTGAATATTTCTCACGGTTTCCTAGATACCCTATAGAAACAACCAAAATGGTCCACCCTGTACATGCGAGAGGTTGCCTATTTTTTCTATAGAGTGTGGCACTGTAAGAATTCTGTTTTTTGCTGTTTGTATATTTGATAAATTCAATAAAATTGTTTATTTCGGAAATGACCTTTTTTCAATAATTTTAAGATTTTTTTAAGAAACTTTTTGATTTCTTTAGTGATAATGTTTTGATTCTTCTGAAAATTGATGATACCAAATAAACTTATAGTCACATGATTAAGCTTGGCCGACACAGGGTTGTCCACACTTAAGTACCTATTTTCTTTTAATCAAAATATTTTAGGAAACAAAAATAAATTAATTATTACTACCGCTTTCCCGTTCCAAAATATTCTAATATGGTTGCGATGAGTTTTTTGCAACGGCTGTTAAGTTATCTTGTACACTTCGCACTAAAAGAGCTAGTAAAAATTTTTTAGCTTAAAGTAACACAACACAATTTAGTTAAACCAAAAACTCGTAATAGAAAACTAAAGCGTAAAAACTAATCAAAGTATTAGTAAATAAATATAGCAACTTGACATTTTTTACAGCAGAGCTACCACTTGAATCCCCAGCGCGAAATTTAAATTCCACTTAGTCAGTCCGGCGCGGCTCCGAATATGCCCAAGGTTGGCAACAATGAATTTAAAATGAAAAGTGTGTGTTAGTATTACAAACTAATGCTTATCTGTGGCAATATACTTTCTAAAAACTTATAGACAGTCTATATATATTTTAACGGTCTATACATTCTAAAAAACTCTTTATTTTGCTACTTCTCTTCATAAATACAGTGTGATAAAAAACGGCGTCCAGTTATATAAAATGCCAGCGATCTTCATTTCAAAGTCATCTCTGACGCCGTATTTTTTCGATTATATTGGATAACAATCCAAGAATTTTTTTTAAAGCGATTTATATTTTTTGATATATACCGGGTGCGTCTCAAAAATGGCTGATCCTTATAACTTTTTTATTTATTCAGATGAAAAAACGAGATTTGATATTTTAGTAAGTGACATAAATTAGGATTTATTGACGTATTCAATTGTTTTTGGTCACTTCCTGTTTCACCGGAAAGGACTACAAATTTTGATTTTTAAATTTACAGCACCCTCAGTATATTTTTACTTTATTCAATAGAAAATGACATTCTGAATAGACTGACATATCATATGTCAACTTTTGACATTTTCGCTTAAAGAAAAATAGTATTTTAAATTTCAATCTAGAGTGCCATAGCTGTGTTAAAAACACTAATTTTTAATCAAGGAGCCTTGGAAAAATAGATTTGATTGTCTAATGTTTTCCGTGTCTTGTCCTGGCCGGTTAAAAGATGCCCAAATCGTATTTTTAATCATATCTCAATTTTTTCAAATGGAACAAGGGTGGCTCATTAGCATATTTGAAAAAAGCATTATTTTACGATGAATTTGGTACCACACACTTGGTATTTCGAGTCAAATTGTCGTTATGAACCGCATGTTACAATTTCAACTAAAACAATATGCAAAAATATCAAAAGTTTTTTCTATTCAGAGTGTCATTTTCTATCGAATAAAGTAAAGAAATACTGAGGGTGTCATTTAAAAATCAAAAATTGTAGTCATTTCCGGTTTCCGGTGAAACAGGAAGTGATCAAAAACAATTGAGTACGCCAATTAATCCTAATTTGTCATATACTAAAATATCAAATCTCGTTTTTTCATCTGAAAAAATAAAAAAAAACTTATCTATAGGGGTGAGGCACTTTTGAGACGCACCCGGTATATATATGATTTATGATGATTTTCTTTTTTCTTTTTTTTTCTCGTTTCTCTTTTTCTCCTTTCTTATGCTCATAGGGCAACGGCCCAGCTACGTCGAAACACAGGTTCCCAATAGATCACCGAAGTTATGCGACGTTAGGCGATGCGAGTGGATGGACGGGTGACCGCCTGGCAACTCTGTCGTGCCATTCCATGAGAAGAGTGTAACATCTATTGATACACACTGCTCGTTAATGCTGGTTCGAGTCCGGATAAGATCGGATATCTTGTAAGAGTCAATTTAGACACTATCGCCAAGTCGGTAGGTCTTTGACAATTATATAGCTGAAGACCGCGGTTCGGATTCTGCGTAGACAAAGTAAGCCCCGTCCAGATTAGCGTTAGCAGCAAAAAGGAGTCGTTAATTTGAAATACTTCACCCTCACAAAATGTTAATCCACATGACAAATTAAAATATAAAAATAAAATTATTAATTTTCTAGCGACTAATTATTTTTCCATATTAATTAGAGCTAAAAGAAGAGTCAAAGAAATCCGAAGAGGATAAACCCGCTATAGAACCTGAACTTGTATTAGTGTCGTCTAAGGCGAAAGCGTCAACGGCCAAGTTGAGAAATGCCAGGAAAAAAGTCGTTCGTCCTGTCCGGAAGGTGGTTAGCAAGAGAGTGACGCGACAAAATCAAAAGGAAGAACAAGACAGTGGCGATGAGAATACGTCTCTGAAATCTGGTGGCGATAGTACTGTGATCTCGTGCGATTTGAACACGGAAGATAGTCGGGACACTGCGCCGGCTGTCGAAGCTGATCCGCTAGCTGTGTCGGAACAAGAAGGTATAGCGTATTTCTTGAATACTTTTTTTCGGTTAAAATAAGGCCTATTTTTTTTGCAAAAAATTGTTGAAAATTACAGTAGAACTTTGATTATCTGTGCGCGGATTATCCGGGCTGCCCATTAACCGTGCCACGAATTTTTCATGATTGACATTGCATTTTTGAAGTTTTATCGAAAAAGCAGAATTCGTCAGACGATTACATAATATATTTTAACACAGATCAAAGGGGCTGACTTTCAAAAGCAGAGCTACCAAATATACATCCGCGTTATGTGTGTAAATGCAAGTTAATAATTTACATCTGTGTTTCTAAAAAGTTACTTCTGTGGAATTCTGTTTTTTCATCTGATATTTTTTTATCCAATTTAATAGTTAGTTTGAACTCATGAGTTCTATTTTTTATTCACGCGATTATGCCCCAAAAAGGCTCTTTTTGGGCTATCAGATCGTCAATCGAAGGCTGCAAATTAAAGGAACTAAACATTTGGACAATTGCAGGTTAATGTAATTTTTGTAGTTTGTTAAATCAGAAGTTCCAATTTGCTGGCTCCAGGCATGGGTGTTTAGTGTGTATGTTGTCTTTGTGTTGGATTTAAGCTTCATTCAGAACCTCGCAGTTAGTGGAATAAATTAGTGGTTTGAATTGTACTATACGCTTTTTAGTTTACGATCATTCACAATTAGTCATGGCCGGAACAGCGATTTTTTAATAACAGGTACAACATGTTCCAGTTGCAAAAGATACCTGTTCCAAGAAACCTGTTCCAAACTGTTCCAAAACGTAAATTAATACCGTACTGGTGTCATTCTGTTTCGGTTCTCCCTGTTTTAGTAGTAGTAGAGTGTTCTCCGAACTGTTGCCTACACTGTATTTTTCAAAAAAACTATTGCATATGGCAACATGACCAGCCCTCTTTTTTATTATAAAAAAAAATCTTCACCTATTCTGTTAACATTTAAAAAACTCTTCTTATTTAAAATTTATAATAAAAATTTAGTTGAATTTTAAATAAATATATTAAACAGCGGCAACGCCGCGCAAGCCGCGCAAACCGTCACGCTTGTTTTTAGGTCTCTCTTCTCTATCCCGATAACATATAACAGCTGAACGGTCCCGTCCGCTAGACTAGCGAAAGCGATATACGACCTCGATTCTCAACTCAAACCAGTTATGTTCACTTAACTGTTCCAAACAGTTTCAAGTCCCTAACTGTTCCAAGTCCTAAACTGTGCCAAGTCCCAAATTGTTCCAAGACCCAAACTGTTTCACGTCTTAAACTGTTCCAAGTCCCAAACTGTTCTAAGTCCCAAACTGTTCCAAATGCCAAACTGTTCCATATGAATAAAACAGTTCCAGTTACACTCGTCTTTATATTATTTATTTTTCTATGCTAATTTGTGTCGCAGTGTTTTGAAACAGCTGGAACAGTTGGAACTGGAACTGGTACAGGATAGCATATATATAATATATAACCTGTTCCAAGCCAGTTCCAAAACAAACCTGTTTCGAAAAAACAGATCCTGTTCCAAAGCATTATCACTATTCACAATGTATAAAAAACACAATTAAAATTAATAGAATATCCTGGCAACAGATTGCGGTGGTCAGTTGTATCCATAGAGAAAGCCTAATATTTAGCGTGTAAAATAATAAACTTTTGATTTCTAACATGTTTCTAACCACAATTTCTCTTGACGGATGATAATCAAAGGCCAGGGGCGCTATTCTGTACAATCGTCGGAATCGGTGAGCTACCGATAGCTATCGGTACGTATTTGCATATAGTAAATATGTGTTAATTGTTGTTGTCATAGTTACCGATCGGCCCAATGACAGATATCGCAAATTTGTACCGACGACTCTCGGTATCTCTACCGTGAGGTTGACAAGGGCACGGTAGAGATACCGATTTTCGTCGGTACAAATTTGCGATACCTGCCATAGGACCGATCGGTAACTATGACAACAACAATTAACACATTTTTACTTTATACAAATACGCATCGAGAGCTGTCGTAACTTACCGATACCGACGATTTTACAGAATAGCGCCCCAGAATAGCATTCCATGGGCATTCCTCACAAATATTGAAATGGAAGAGTTAAAAAGTTTGTTACCTTTTTCTACTAATTCTAAATCACTGGCACTAATTTTTAAGTTCTAAATGCTTACATACAAACTTCTACGCTAATTTATTCCACTAATTTGGAGGTTCTGAATGTAGCTTTAGAATTTAAGTATAGTTTAAGAAATATTGACAATAAAATTAGATAGGTACCTTGCCAGAATGGTTCTGGCAGCCTAGACAATGAAAAAAAAAAGGAAAAAAGTTCCAATCTGATAGTGATAATTCCTAATTGGATAAATTAAGTTATTTATTCCTAATTCCATAAACTGGAATGAGCCACTTATAATAATACAAATTTTTAGTTAAAGTTTGCTTTATCAAAATGAGTAAAACATAAAGAACGAAACAAATCTAATAGCATATTACGACATAACTACCACTTTTTAGAGATGGATACATTCTAACTTTGATAGATTTTCTATAATAAATTATTAGAAAGGCATTGTTTTAGGAGAATCCAATGAAACGACTTCTACGCCAGCAGTTAAGCAAACTTTGGCATCGTTTTCGCTAGATTTTAAGGATTCTGATACACCATCGCCAGCTCCAGTGAAAACGCCATCGCCTATGAGAGCAGTACGAAAAAGAGGTATTAATTATCCGATGTACTTAAACAGCCGTTAAACGGTAGCCTACTAAAATGCCGTTAATAGATATTGTGACGTCGTTCATGTCGGCGGAAAGTAATGCCTAGCCTTAAACTTTTTGCAAGAGCACCTGTGGGTCAGTGGCTGAGGCTATCGCTTCGTAAGCGGATGGTCTGTGGTTCAAATCTCTCGCCGACCAAGACTTTTTTATATTTTTTTTGCTTATAGCGTGATCTTATTGCATTGGTTTCACACTTTTTGGTTGGATTGGTTTAGTTATTTGGCGGGTTGGTTAGCGTGGTTATTTGGAGGGTGTTAATTCATTAGTTAGTTGGTTATTTGGTGGGGTTGGTTGATTTTTACTAATTTATATTTTTTTTTATATTTTTTATCAGTGTCGAGGTTAGTTGCGTTGGTTAAGTTGGTTATTTGGTGGAGTGGATAGCGTTGGTTGGTCCTTATAAAATTCCTATATTTCATAAAGCCGTCAAGTGGGTCACATGAACGACGTAATACCTATTAACGGCATTTTAGTAAGCTACCGTTTAACGGCAGTTTAAGTACAGCCTTAATTATTAGTAGTGTTTTATAATACTCGAGAATTCCCCGAGAACGAACGAGAATAAACGAGAATTTATAATTATTAGTGCAAAAAATACGCTGGAAAATCATTTAGTTGATTTTTTAAATTTTATTTTGAACTGTTTCTTATTTTGGTGAAAAATTAAAATTTTGAGAACATTTAGAACGAAAAGAAGAAAAAATTAAGAAAAATTAGATATCCAGAATACGCTGTCCTTCTTTCTGGGCATAATTATATTGCACTAACACTACAAACTCAATTTGCAGATCAAAGGTTGATTCTCACTATACCTTCCGTTTCCATTCCATATCCATTTCATATTCGTTCCGTATTTATATTGTATTGACGCTATACGTAAGCTTCCGTTCTGTATCAGTTCCATACTTTTTATTGTACAATTTATATCATTACGAAAGCTTTATTTTAAAAATTTGTATTTTTTGAAAAAGGTAATAGATTTAATTAAGAGGTGAAAAAATAAATAAATATCAGCAAAATGTTAACAGAGCAGGTACAAATGTAAGAACTTGACAACGATGTTTTCGATACGCTTCAGTCCGCCCGTGAAAAATATGTATGGAAGGAAGGGATATGGAACGGAAGGGAAACGGAACGGATAGTGTGCATTGTCCTATTCATTTACATGACATAATATTTTATGTAAACGGAAGGGAGCTGATACGGAAGGTATAGTGAGAATCAACCTTAAATCGGCAAATTAGTAGCTGAATGTATAATATAATCGTTGATTGAAAGAATAGGGAAGATACGCAACCTAATGGGCGAATTCGTGACAAGACTGATTTGATTTCCCCTTATGTCTCAAGTGCTGTATGGTGGAGCCACCAATCGTTCTGCGGCCAACGCATAAAACATTTATTTTCTCTAATCCGGTCAGCGAAGGCATATGGAAGACGGTGTGAAACCGAAAACGACTGTGTTGCCATATTAAAATGTGTAATATCTGTAATCTGTTTGTCGAAAAAATATTTGGATGAAAAATCCGCGTTTATCTATTGAAAATTTGTTCGTGTTAAACATAGAATAGACTTCTTCTTCTTAGGGTGCCATACTCTATATAGAGCGTCGGCTACCTCTCGCATGTACTTGTGATGTGTGTCATCAGTGTTTCACAAGTACACGGGACCTACAGTTTATTGCCGAATCCGAACGGCACTATTTGAGAGGTTGTACAAGGCAAATATACTCAAGGTGGTTTGCCATTGCCTTCTTTGAGGTGGTGGCTCGTTGGTCGCTCTATTTAGATAAATAAATATCTTTATTTAAATAATTAAAGCGACCGTACTAGCTGGGGATCGAACTCAGTACCTTCCGCTCCGCAGATCGACACATTAACGCTGGAGCTACGGCCGGCCACATAGAATAGACAACAAAAATAAAAATTCTTTTAAAGGTACTGAATATTTCGTTTGATCGAGAAAAGGTCGTTTAGTTGGCTTGGAAATGACGATTATTGAGTCTTACCATAATATTTTACATATGAAATAACAACGGGCTTCATTTCCGAGCCAACTTTGGCGCGGTTCTTTGTTTAATTATATAATTTTATATTAAACTAGTTGAAGCCTGGCGCATCCGCCACGACATCAGGAAAAAAATACTTTTATTTTTTTTAATTAAATGAAAAACAAAAAATCCGGCGACGACAGTTTTTAGAAGAGCCAATTAGCTATCTTTTAGTAAAAAAAGCAACTTTCTAGAGCAAGTTGTTACTTCAGTAGAGACGACACAGATAAACATTAGCATTTTATATATGTAGATTGTTTAATGATGCTGTTGAATGAAAATCTGTATTATTAACATACTGTGCCTAAAATCCGTAAATCTAGGGACTAATCCGTAGTTCTGGCAACACTGTCTCCGCCAACCACTCACTCTGTCGACTGAAAGCTACTCTGTCGAAGAACTACTGTACAGTATTCTTTATCCGCTGCGTTGTAAACGACCGTCAGCGCGCAGAGGCGCAGAGCTAAACTAAATCTCAGACAATCTGACTGTAACGCCAGCTATATCTCGGACATGTTTTTTGTGCCACGAAATCGCCCATAAGGTTGCGCATCTTCTTATTTTTTCAATCAACGATTTAATAGAGGTATAATACTATACTAATCCCCGAACTCCTAATTTCAGCGACAAAAAAGGGGCCGTAATTTTTCCGGTTTTCCCGTTATCGCTTGCTAAATGTCTATATAATATGGAGTATTATAAATACTATACAGAAAATACTAGTTTTTTTAATGCTATTTATTTTTTTTTTCACTTTATACTTTAAAAGAAAAAGGTTGGTAGCTATTAAAATTGGTAGCTATTAAAGCTATTAAAATTAAGAACTCATACTTGGGGAGAATTTTTTTGAGATGTGTACCAACCTTTTTTTCAGAGTATAAAGTAAAAGTAAATATTCAATATTTTTGACCCGCCTTAGTGCCCATACATGCTCTTGGAAGGGAACGTTTCCTTTTCACGAATGTAAACATTCTCTCTATTACGACGCTATACACAATATACATAACTTATTCAGGAAGAGAAATTCCTATTCAAAAACAACAAGAACCCGACAACGGTCCAGAAAAGCGGATGAAGCTGAAAGGTCGTCGGCAAGTCGATACGGCGCTAAGAAAAAGTGTCGAACAACGCATCGAACAGCTTCAAGGTTTGTAATTTATTACTTTTCCGTTTTGAAGAAATATTTTTAAAATTTTTTATACATCTTTAGCAAGCAGTAGCGAGAGCAAAGATAGCGACGATGAACCGCCCGCGCCAAAACCGACGCGGCGCAAACAAAAGAAAAAGTCTAGCACACCAAAGAAACCGATTAATAGGAACCCGGAAAAGAAAAATAGCAGTAAGAATTTATCATTTATTATTTATTGTGTATGTTAAGAAAAATATATATCGTCGAGATTCTATGATTAAAGTTTATTTATTTATCGAAGAAAGAAACTGAATTCACGCCTAGTGCACGGAGTTTAGACGTTGCTAACGTAAGTACAGGATCCGGCTGCAGGATTATTACGCTCAGCATTAGGGTGTCCGTTATTTCCTAAGTTGATTTTTTTTGCCGCCCCCTGAAATTTTAATTTTTGCTCTAAAATTATCCAATAGGGATGAGCAGAAAATCGCAAACTGCGATTTAATCGCAGCGTTTGTAAATTTGCAATCGCAACCTGCGATTCCTTTCCATAGCAAACTGCGACTTGCGATTTTGCGATCTTTGGATTTTTAGGCAACCAATATTACACCAGTTGCGATTTGCAATCGCAGTGGGCACGCGAACGAAGAGCTGCAAATGAAAATCACAGCATTGCGACTTTCGTTCGCACCGGCGGCGGCGGCGGCGGTGCATCGACACCGCACTGAGTAGGCGAACGAGGAGCTGAACGAAAATCGCAGCATTGCAATTGCGATTTTCGTTGGCATCGGCGCGGCATCGGGAGTGGGCACGCCAAGGAAGAGCGGCGAACGAAAATCGCAATATTGCAGCATCGCAGCTCCCAACACATCGGCCTAGACTAGATCGCAAAATCACATTCGCAATCGGGACCCCGTAATTTTTATGAAGCGTTGGAAAATAGGCTTATGTTTATATACAGCATAATATATAATTTATTAGTTTTAAATTTTGATAATAGTTTTAGATTTATAATATAATTATGGATTTAAAAGGTTAAACAATTCTTGTTTTCGGTTATGACTAATTATAGTTACAGTTGCTCCCAGGTATAATTCAGATTGTTTACAAATGATTCATAAGGACAGTTTTTTTTGGATTCAAATTATAAAAAATTATCTATTTTTATCCTTGATTTACTAGAAGACATAGAGTACGGAAAAGAAACTCTATTAATATGGATACTTTTTTCAGACCTTTTTATTTAGTATATTTTGTTATATATTATATTATTATAAACATTTTTATAACAGTCCATAATATAATATAATTTTCTGAATATTAACTAACAGTTGTGGATCGGCTGTTATGTTAATTTAAATATTTACATCCTTTACAATCAGTTTTTTCATTTTAGAGAAATTTCAAATATAATAAAATGTGATATTGTCCTTTTATTTATCTGAAAGTTCGAAAGTTTGCACTTGCACAGGACTAGCCTTATCAAAGCCGTCGGCGTCGGCTTCTTTTGAGTTACATATAAAGAAAATGTTTTTAAAAGAAAAAAAGATAAAAAAAAACAGTTTTTTTAGTTATCTCAATTAAGGTTGGCGGCAAACTTTTTTATAATAAATTTTTCGTTAGTATACCTACAGACTGTCTAAAAGCACATTCGAATATTTTGAACATTTTATGTATTTTTAATTTCCCTTTTAAATTTATTTGGTCTGTTCTATTCAAAAATGTTTAAAAAAAGGAAACTAAGTTATTTGTGGAATTTTTTTTTGGTAATTGATTAAGATTTTACGTGCAATACTCGGTGCAATATGTGTGCAGCAAAAATATCATAAAAAACAAGCACTACAAATTTTAAAAGGTACATGGCATTGAAACACCCAACAGTTTCTTTGTAAGTATTTATAAAAAAATGATTCCGTTATTTATTCTGTTTTTTATTGAAAACTTTGGGATTGAGCTTCCCAGTTTACAGCGTACCAATTTAAAAATATCAATATCGCATTCGCAGGTTACAGTCGCAGCGATTTATAAATCACAATCGCAGTTTTGCTCGCCTCTATTATCCAACGTAAACAAGCTCTTAATTTTTAATTTAAACCGTGCCGGAATCATGATACCTGTCCCATTTAAATAACATGGGATTTTCTAAGTCATCATAAGTAATATTTAAGATAAAAACCACTTGAAATTTGTTCCTTCTTTTCAATTGACACACATTTACGAACACTGAAAGGCAATCAAACAATAACCTTAAATTATAGTATAGAACAATTGATCATAGATGGCGCAATATTAGTTTTCCATATTAAAGTTGGTAAAGAAATATTGTATTGTTATTGAAAAAGTATGGCTCTAGATCCTTTTTTAGTAAAAATCAAAAGGGTCAATTAGAATTTGCAGTGAATGATAGAAAAATTTGATTATAAACTATGTGCATAACTTTGAGCGCGAATATCTTTTAAGGGAATGTTTTTATGGAAAAAACCAAAGAGACCTTTTTTGTAGCGCGTAATATTTTGTATTGTTGAAGATTCATTTGCTTTAGAGATAAAAAAATTAAATGCAAAAGGTCAGAAAACCCCATGTTATTTAAGTGGAAAAATTATCATGATTCCGGCACGGTTTAAATTAAAAATTAAGAGCTTGTTTACGTTGGATCATTTTTTTTATAGCAAAAACTAAAATTTCAGAGGGCGGCAGCAAAAAAAATCAACTTGGGAAATAACGGACACCCTACTCATCATGTTAATGAAAACCTAATTTTTACGTATATTTATGAATTGGAATGAACGGAGGCATGAAAATGCAATAAATTTAAAAAACGCGTAATTTTCTAACCAATCAAAGTCTTTAAATTCAACCAATAAATAACACTATTTTGACAAATTCGTCAACTTTTGTGACTCGGATTCTATGTTTTTCAGTACGTTATAGATTTGTATTTTATTGTCATAATTTTTTAAAGGAATACTTGCCTGTTTGGATAAAGTCGAGGACTCTCCAAGCGAGGGGGGCTTAGGTTTGAGGCAGTCCCGTAGGATAGCGCAGATGAAGATCAAAGAACAGGTCCAGCCTCAGCCTAGAGAAGAGCGTTAGTTCTTTGTTGTATTTCGAGTAAAACCATTTTTGTAACTATTTATTAATTTAGGCACCAAGAAACCGAAAGAAGTTGAAAGCACTAAAAGTAAAAAACCAGTTAAACCCGTCGTTGAAGTTGAAGAAGTTGTTGAAGCGAAGAAAAAAAGGAAGAAGGACAAACCGGTGAGCAGGATATTTAATGAAAACCGTCCTTGGCAATCGAGCTCCGACGATAGCGACGAAGTGATCGAGGAGGTAATTATTTCTTTTGATTTTATTTTCCATACATTATCTCTATTCAATAACATGACTAAGGGTGCGAACATAGTGGAGGCAGGTTTCTGCTTTCCGGCAGGCAGCGCCGTCTCTGGGGACCTATTCTTGACCACATATCGCTCACATCTCGCATCTCCGAAAAAGGCATATAACAATACACGTGATGCCTAACTTTGCGTATATGCCGTGTATTGTTATATGGCTTTTTCGGAGATGCGAGCAGGGTTCGGAAGTAGTTAATTAAGAGGAAATCTACCTGATTAACTAACCTAACCTAACCTAACCATATTCAAACGCCGCTCCCGCCGCGCCTGCGCCGCACCTAGGGGTATTTGGTCTATAAACCTGGCCAAAAGTGAAATATTTTTATTTTCATTTTTTATCTTAACTGAATACAAATCTATAAATACTAAATGTAAGCGCGTTTATTAGCTTTTTTTAAGTCATAAGTTGACTATCAAATAAATAATATATTTCAATTATAAGTATGAATTATCTTGAGTGTATTCTGAATATTTCTAAGATTATAAAATAGTGGAATTGTTTGTAGTGCTTTTTTTGCAAATTGTTTATAATAACTGTCATCATGGATACAGAGCCAGCTGGCAAGTCCTGTTTTACGCCATATTTTTATTTTGAAACGTTTCCTTCTATTCTATTTCTTTATAATGTTTTATATTTAAAAAATCAGAGGCATTTTTATAAGGTGTAAGACTATTCGGCAATATTCCGCATGGAAATTAGTATCCGTTCAATGCTTAAAGTCTCCAGCTTTGGAATATGTACAAAAATCTTGCCAATATTTGCCACTGCCAAAAAAAACATTGATTTAAATAGATTCTTAAAGGAAATAGTCTTTTCCCTATAACACCCATCCTCGCTCAAATATCGTCTATAATATACAAATTACTTTCTTGTTCTAGCATCCTCATCCAATTGCTTGGTTTTGCACAGAATGGCCCTATTTGATCGGTGGAAAGGGTTTCAGAGTAGAGGAAAAAATATTGTGTAGGAAAAACAAAATGGGGTTCCATATTAGCAACCTCTCCTCTAATTAATAATTAATATTACTAGCAAAAAAGCAAAAAAATCATAAAACAAAATTTTGGCCAACTTTTAGTTCTTATTACCCTCTGTGCGCCGTCGGCGCGTGCAAAAGCAGAAATAAATAAATTTTCGTTCCGGTAAAAGCGAGAACGCCGATGAACGCTGGTTGACGGTGCCTGCCTGCCATCTGCCTGCTTTCACTGTGAACTAGCCGATTTGATAACACGCTTTAATTTTTGAAGGTTATAAGCGCGAGGCGGCGCGGCGCGGTGCTACGATGTACCCATATACAGGGTGTCCCAGAAATAAGTGCAAGTATTTTAACTTAACTGGTAGTATACTTCAAACCCAGAAACATACCTATGAGGTTTTTTTCTAAATAGTTTTTTTTTGAAAATTCCGAATTTTTTGAAATTTTTTTGGAATTTTTTTTAGTTTTTATTTAAAAAAAATAATTTCTTGATAATATGGCAACATAGGTAGTAGATTAAAGTTACAAGAAAGAAAATCCAGAAAAGATCCAGTGACTCAAAATTTTAGCAAAAAATCATTTTTTTTGGAAATTTTCAAAGTAAAATAACTCCGTTATTTTGGACTTATTTGAAAAACGATAAAGAGAAAATATGTTTCTTTTATCGAGATCTACCACCCTTTAAAATACATGCACTTATTTCTGGGATACCCTGTTTAAACAATACACGTGATGCGTATAAGCAAAGTTGCGAACGATGTCAAGAATAGGTGCCCAGATTGGCGGTGACTACCAGTAAGCGGCAAACCTGCTTGCACTGTGTTCGCACACTAAGGGAGGAGTATATTGTAGTATAACATACCCATGGTCGTTCAACAATGTTAAATAGGTAAGATTTTGGCCAACAGTATAACATTTTAAATGAAGTAAAGGAACCTACGTTGTGTTTAAAATATTTTTATTCTGACTTACCTCGGATGCGCTTGGCAGAAGCAATATTAGGGAAATTTGAGGACAATAGGTTATGTATGTAAATCAAACACCTAATTTGTAAATAGCCCTACTTATTTTATTAAACGAAATGAAGACTGTCATACTCTACCTGGAATTCACAAGGGAAAAGGGTATGGCTGAGAAATCTTTGATCACTGTTCCGACGAATTCTACTATGTAACGCCACTGTAAGAAAATCTACAAAAATAGTTATTTTTTGTAAACTCTTTAGTTTTTTTTAAACAGATACACCACAGGTCTCACAAAACATCCCCCTTTAGAACTTCATCTGTCATGTTAGGAAATGAAAGTAAATAATAAAGCGCCTCTCCTGTTTGTTCGCATACTAAAAATTTCAATTAATGCCTGTATATATTTTTAACATATTTTTTAAATTTACGTTTGTTTTAATTATAAAGTAATATATTACATTTAAATGGAATATATTACATAACAATGGGCTTGTTTCACAATTTTTTTTTATTTTATCAATCGAAAGTACAACTAAATAACAGATCTACCAAAAATTAGAATTTTATTCGTAGGTTTAGTACCTCAATAACACGTACAAACATCTATTGCGCGAGAAAGAGGCGTGGCCAGCCGCTACGTCATAGCACCACAGGTCGGCTGGCGACCGCGCTCGATACAATGCACAGGTTTGCTTTGCCCGATTACAGAAAGTGTGTTTTAAATTTTTAGTGTAACGTAGTGTAGTACTAGTCTTTCTTTTATTCAATATTAGTATAAAACAGACAAGGAAACGTTGTGTAGTGCCAGAATGCACAAATACGAATAAAAATTCCCCAGAAAAACTATTTATTTCTTTACCGTCCGATATACAGTTAAGACGAGCATGGCAGCATGCAATGCGAAGACATGATTTTGTCTCTGACAGAGGCACCAGATTTTGTTGTGAAGATCACTTTAATGTAAGTTAATAGCTACAAGTAGTGTTTCCTTTTTTTTAATAAATAAAACTAAAATCAGGTGTTATTCCTCACATTTTTGAGTGCCAAAAAAAAACGATCTTCTGCTTCAAATACAAGAAAACAAGCAGCCATTATTAAGGAAATATTGAAAGACGACGCAAGGCAGGCGGCAAATGAAAATTTTCATTTCAGGGCCAATACAGTAGACAAGGATCTTAAAATGCATGATCAAGAGAAGCGCATTTCAAACCATCAAATTTATGCAACCACATAAGAAATGCTACCGCGTGCTTGCAACCACGTTCGGATGCGGCACAGTCATTACACTTTGCTTCTATCACACTTTTTTCACTAGTATTTATAATAATGCATTGTACATTATAATTTTTTGCATTAATTTTGTGCTCCGGTGTAATTTTTTGCCACTACTTGTTATAGTGATTGCTGTTGTTTTAACTGCACATATTATCCAATGGCATTATTACCATCATTTTGTCTGTAAGAAAAAAGTACATAGCTTACGTATCACTTTTTACCTTAAAGTAGAAATATTTTTCTATATATTTATTGTATTACGTCTTTTCGCGGACCAACCTCGAACTAGTCCTAGTCAATCACATATCTTAAAATCAATTCAGTATTTGTCAGCTGTATATGAAACCACTGATTTTTTCTGGTTCGTGAATTTTTCGCGAGAATATTTATTAATAATTGATCAATAATTAATTTATTTTTGTTTTTTTTTAATTAAAATTTTTAAAATTTAAAAAATATCAAAAATAATTAAAAATAGTTTTCTGCAAGCGTGTTAAAATATTTTTCGCCACACTCCGATATATAATAATATTACTTTAAGGTACTAGTGCTTTAAAATTTACTTTAGTCATTAAAGGAAACAAAAAAATATATATTTGAGGAAAGTCTCTTATTTACTTGTACAATTATTATGTATTAATTCAATATTAATTATATTCATATTCTAACTTATTTATATTATTAATATAAACAATAAACAATTGTTAATTCAATAATTAGCCGAAAAGCCTCAAAATGCTAATTAATTGTATTAATGTTACAAATAGAAGATTGCATAGGTTAGTTAAGAAAATGCATAGGTAGCCTTCTTTCATATAGGGTAAATAACCCTTTGTTTTTTTTACCCTAGCGAGCCGCCACTGCTTTCCGATACAGATAGGTATTTAAGCAATAGAAAATATTAGCAGGAAAATATAATAGAAAATAAAAGGTTTACTCAGGTACCTTTGTAACTTTATTTCCTTCATTTCTGAACTAATAAACTCCTTATTTTTATTAAAATAACCCATTATCATAAAAATGTCCACTTCTGGGATATTGCCCGAATCAGCTTTATTGAACCCTTCTCCTACCGAATGCATCTTGTGAAAATAAACCAACGAAATAGTCTAAATAACGATAAAATGACAAATCACATTAATTCAAACAGTGTTTCCGTTACGAACTGATTGACGGCAAGTCGGGTGTAGTGGAACTACGTCACGAGGGGGCGTAGCCTCGTCTCGCCGTTAAAAACTTTAAGCTCTCACATCTCGAAAACGGCAAAAGATTTCGTTTTGAAATTTTAATGGTGCACTTATTATAATAAGTAGTATCCAAAAACGTTTAAAAAACATACAAATAGGATATGATGGAACAAGCCTATTATGTCAATTTTGTTTTCTAACATTTTTTAAATAAAACGAATTTTGTAGGTATGAAAAAAGTAAAATATAAAATGGACAAACGCTTACTTCCATTGCAATAAAACTGCTACATCTATTTTTGCAATCCAAACGCAATATTTAATTTCTTTTTCACAAATAAAAATATCCGACAACACTAAAATCACTGAAACTTCCGCGGCTGATAACGAAAACTGAAAAATATAATGGCACTTTTTGTTTTGGGCCTGCATATCAACATTACGCTGTACCATTATGATTTTGTTTTAGAAATAATATAAAATATCTAATTATAACTTGTGAATTTTAATATTTTAACATGATTTTAACTATTTCTGACAATAACTGACTTTTTGTTATCAAGATGACATTTTAGACAACAACTGACGTATATCTCATAAAATTTTAATTTTAAATATGTATGTAATATAGTTTAAATTAATATAATGCAACTTTTAACTAAGAAAACATTTATACATTCACAAAATACAACAAAGTCTAATATTATAGTTTGAAAACAATGAATATTGAATTAAAATTATAAAAGTTAAGCGCGACCCCTTGTGTCAAAATTAGATGATTAAATTTATACAATGTTTACACCATCTGATGACCAGTAGCGCCTCTAGTGTTTGTTCGGGCGGTTGGTCTTTTACTCCCGTTTATAGCCATTAAAGAAAAAGTTCTAAAGGGGGATGTTTTGTGATACGTCTATAAAAACCGTTGACGTTCTGTTAAAATGACCTTATATCAAGTTAAATTTCAAAATTAACAATTACTACTTGATAACAATTACTTAATAAGGTAAAACCAAAAAGCTTCAAACTTTCTCTATGTTAATTTTGAAGTTCAACTTGATATAATGTCATTTTAATTTTTAACTTTTTGGAAAAAATGTGTTCTTCATAAAAGTTTTTGCTTTTTCTAAGATGGTTAATTCCGTTTTTACCTTCCCAAATTTCAGTGTAGGCAAAACAACAGTTTTGTTGTACTAACTGAATGACCACGTTAGTTCTCTAGACGATCTTCCGTCTCAATTCAGATCAAGTAAAACGGATAGATTTTTTTTTGTCGACACACAAGGTTTTTAAACTCGTTGATTGCACAGGTAGAACTAACAAGTAAATGCTATGTATAGTCTGGGCTATATATTGAATTGGAAACGTCTATTATGGCCTGTATCATTTTGGTCTCTTTTACGCACAGGATGAAGAATCTCCAATTGAGGAAGAAGAAGAGGCAGTGAGGCTGGAAGACTTGAAATCTGATCACGAGTTTTCTCCAGAAAGCGATTTGGAAGATGCCGACGATTCTCAGCCTTTGAAACGAGCAAGAACAGCCAAAAAAGGTAATTAAATATCTGTTATACTTTCTGAATTAGGTATGATATTTCCAAAGTCACTTGGATTGATTTGGGACTTTTAAGTTTAGACGATGCTAATGGCGTCTACAAAGGCAATGCGCGAATTAAGAGTCCGAAACTAGTCCAGCTGACATTGTTAATACTTTAGCATTAGTTAGATTTAAACTATGCTTAGTTTATTTTGAAATTGTACTTATATACTGTTGGTCTTTTATTACGGAGTTTTGTAGATGTATCGGATTTTATGAATTCCATATCAAATATTAAGGTTTGTTAAAACCAAAGACATTATAAAGATAGATCGAACATCTCATTCATAAATACTCGTTGGAAGTGTATCAAACATTCCAATATGTCAAACAAGGACAGAAGAGACAGAGAAGTCTAAAATTTCCGACCCCGGCAACTAGGCGCATTTGGATTGTTCTAATGGCCAGTGGCGTATCGTTTTTTGGAAGGAATTTAATTAGTAACGTAAAAGTAAAGTAATTAGTAAAATTTTTACTCCATATTAATATACTACATTAACACTTTTTCGTCAGATGAGTTTTGTTATAAGGTCTAATATAATAATATAATTAATATCCCACATATACTTATGTTGAAACGTTAGTAGGTAGTTTTCGAAAATCTCTCCAACGTCGATTTTCAATTTAAACTTTCAGTTACTTCTATATAAACTTTCAGTTACTTTTGAATATTTACAGGGTGACTCAAGTTTCTGAAACAATTCTATATTAGGTTTGTGGTTGGTGACTTTTCTTTCAATTTTTTTTCAGAATATGGAGGCAATGGTAAAGCACATTTTAGACATTTTTGTAAACATAGGTGGCCGGGACATATTTTCAAACTAGAGTTGTAGATTTGCTATTAAATTTCCATTCCAGAAATACCTAGGGTTGCCACCTGTCCTTTTTTGAAAAGGACAGTCCTTTTTTGGAATAACTTGTCCTTTTGACTTTTTTTGACTTAAAAAGTCATTTTTATTTATGTATTTTCCCTGAGAAAATTACCTACAGCAAACAGAAATATTCTTTTCGTCCAAATTTAATTAGAGATGTTATAAAACTTATAAATAAATTTTTCTTGTTTAGAATAGGCAACATTATGTAGAACTTCCCGTTTAATCTCAAATGATAGTTTAGGTTTTAGTTTTACCTTTTTCGATCTTAAAAAGCACTTTTCAAAATTAGTAATTAGTAACGATTTAGTTAGTTCGCAATCGATAGCTTAATAATTTGTTCGCAATTAATAGCTTCCTGTGAAGTACTGTGTAATAGTTGTTTAATCTTGTATTATTAATAACTTCCTTTACCTAAACTCAATGAGAAAATTGTGTTTTTTTGAAAATATAAGACAAGATTTGACTTTCGGCATTTATCATTAAAAGTATCAAATCTGTGTGCTACAGTATGGGATTTCGGTCGCATAATAATGAATATTACGTTTATTTACAAACCCATTACTTTTAAAGGTAACTTCATCAGACAATCAAATTTTAGTTAAATGTCTCAATCTTCATGAACTGTATTAAGCGTATGTATTGCGGTTTGAATCACCCTGTATGTTGACAAAAATATTTTGAAAATGTGCGTTACAATGGCCCCCATCTTATGTAAAAAATTGAAATAAAAATCACAAACCAAAAACGTAATAGGTAAAAAGCTTTTTTGGAGGCCTGGGTCATTCTGTATATAGGTATTATTAAAACTAGTAGCCTAAAAATTATTTACAGTTCGTCCCATTCTAAAAAAAGTTAAACACACCGTACAAATAACTCTAGGAAGAGGCATTTGTACGGTGGTAAAAAATTGTCTAAACAAGGCCGAATGGCAGATATAATAAAGCAGTAAAATGTAAAAAAGGTCAGCTAAACACCTTTGTTTATTTGTTGAGCAAAATTCCTTTAGAATATCGTATATAATGACCAAAATATGACGAATTTTAAGAAAAAAAATGTCACTTTCTGGCTTATAATAAAGTTTCAAATGCACCGTTTATATTCAAATTTGTTATGATCTACAACAGTTAGGTAGTAATTGAGACGAATTATAATTCAATTACCGACTACTATATACGTTCTTGTTTTAATAGATCAAAATCCAACAAATATAATTAGAAATTATTTTAATTGTAAGGGGCTCCCTTGTAGGACGCCTATGTACAATTACGGCGGAAATTTGTATCTACCTGTGAAAAGACAAATTCGGGTAATTTGAGCTTATTTTTCCACACACTTGACACTGTCGTACCATATTGAAAATTCGCAGATTCAAAAGTACGTTAAACAAAAACAAAAACTACTGAAAAACACTAAAAGTTCACTTCGGACTTGATTCCGACTTCAAACACACCGTAAGCTAAACGTAGTACGCTATAACGGACCAAAGGCCGTCGCGAGGGGTGGTGGGACGGACGGCTCATTTCATTTTGGAAGACTAGCAGCGACGTTGCCAATAGTTCTAGACGTTTCAGCACTTTAAACAGTAAACACGTCCTTTAATAGTAACGGATATATCCTCTGGTTAATAACATATTATTACGCATGCTTTAAAAATAAACTATTAATTTTATTAAGAAATTGAGATTTATTGATATCCGGTGAAGGTTTTAAAGTCACCTTTTCTGCAAATCAAATTAAGTAGATAGGCGCAAATTTGAGATGTGGCAATGTCGCCTTCTCTATTTCAGTTGGTTTTTACAGTACGTAGTCAACCTCCGATTGTTTGATCGGGTTAAAATGCACAATGTGATATCTGTTCTTCCTAAATCTATGGTTAAAACATTTAAATTATAAGGATAAGAAAATGTTTTCTGTTTTTTCTAAAAAAAAATATCTTAAGATTAATTGTATTTATGTTTTGTAGACGAACTCTATTTGAACTATAATTGGTTCTTCTTCTTTGGGTTCCATCTCCTAATGGAGGTTGGAACTCATCATGGCAATTCTAACTTTGTTAACGGCTGCTCTTAATAACTGGTTTGAAATCATTCCAGACCATTCTCTCAAATTCTTGAGCCATGATGTTCTTCTTCCTTGGCTCCTTCTGCCCTTTATCTTTTCTTCTATTATGTTCTGCAGCAGGGCATATTTAGGTCCTCTCATTATGCGTCCAAAGTACTCAAGTTTTCTCTTTTTAAGGGTGTTAATCACCTCACCTGGGATTGATCCAAGTTTTCGGTCAACCAACTGCCTAGATATTTATATTTTTGTACTCTCTCCATAGGTGTATATATATATCATCTATTAGAACATTGGCTTGGACATCTTCTCTCTTAGTGATTATCATAAATTTAGTTTTCTTAGGGTTCATTTTCAGGCCATAGACTCTACACGTGTTGTTTAGTCTTTGTAGAAGTGTTTGCAGACCTTCCACGTTGTCTGCTATAAGGACGGTATCGTCCGCGAACCGCATATTATTTAAGACCTGCCCATTAATAGTGATGCCCTCCTTTCTACTAGTCAAGGCTCCCCGAAAAATTGATTCGATATATATATTAAACAATAGCGGAGAAAGAATACATCCTTGACGAACGCCGCTCAGAATCTTTACTTCATCAGAAAGTCGTCCACTATAACCTTCGCTGTTTACCCCCAATAAAGATTTGCTATTATCCTGATATCTCGGCTATCGATATTCATGCCTTTAAGTATTTCCATTAGTCTATGATGTTGAACTTTATCGAAAGCCTTCTCAAAATCTATAAAACACACATACAGGTCCTGATTCATATCAATACACCTCTGTGCACATTTATGCTAAACAGAGCCTCTCGCGTACCCATTCCTCTTCTAAACCCTACTTGGTTGTCAGTGATTTCTGAGTCCACCTTAGCAAAAATTCTATTATAAATAATTCTCAAAAACACTCACTGTGTGACTCATCAGGGCAATTGTTCGATGGTTGGAACATTCTTTGGCATTGGGTTTTTTTGGGCAACGGTACAAAACTAGACACTAACCAATCCTTTGCTAATAATTTGCTAATAATTGCTAATAATTGGTTATATATTGGTAAAGATATAGACTTCCCATTGCGGTCACAACTTTTAGTGGCTCAAATTTTACCAAATTATCCAGCCTCTTACAATTCTTCTTCAATAACATTTAAATAATCCACAATAATGGTGATTTTTGTTTCTCTCCAAAATGTCATGTCCACCATGATAAAAAAATAAGAGTTTGTACAAAATCACAAATTATCCCACTATTATTACAAAACATTGTCTAAAACAGAATACTAACAAAAAATCTGAAATTAGGAATTTCAGTAAGGAAGTACAGTAATTCGAAAATGCAAAACGAAAGTAAACCGCAAAATCACAAACACAAAACATCCTTCAATGGATGGAAATTAGAATTTTGACTTATGTCATGAAATGAATGTAAAAGAAGCGCTTGAATTTGTTCGCGCACTAAATTCATGAAATATCGATCCCTATATTTTTTTTTTAATATTACAGGAACATTTTTTTAATTGTAACGAAATAGGTATAGTAAACGCCACGAATGTTTGGGAGTGATTCATCGCTTGATGAAGTTAGAATCGACACGCGCGCTATCATTTTTACATTAAAAACGTAAATTTTTACCGCAGACGTAGTTTTTTAAAGGCCTGGTCTAATCATCTGCCTGCCCTCCTCCTACTTATTCTAAAATGTTAGCGTGATTGACAAAGACGATACTATATCGCGTTTCTTTGATTGATTCGTTTTTGTGCGTCAGTCTATTGGTGTGCTTGCAATGCGACTAATGGGGCATTCCATTTTATATTTATAACTAAATATATGTTTTGACAAGACTTTGACAGTCAAAACAACAAATTATAACAGATTATATATTGATTATTATATGACTTGAAACACCACGGCACTGGAATTAAGTTTTATATGACCTTGAACAGATTAGTTCACATGGTAGCGACCGATGAATCGCTCCCAAATATTCGTGGCGTTTACTATATATTAAAATTACATTATATATTAAAAATTAAATTAGAAAATTGTAATTTATATATGACATATAATTTAATTTTAATATATCTATTTTGTTACAATAAAAAAAATGTTTATATCAATACCCGATCGAACGTTTATAAAAATAAAACAATTATTGATGTTATTATAAATTATCTATTTTACATACCCATAAACTTTTTGAAATAGTAACTAAAACTAGTCGAATCTTTCCGGGGATTTGAAAAACGAAAAAACTGCCATTTTTGTTGTCGTAATTGGTCGTAACGGAACGCTACAGTTCTTCTTCGCAGGTTTGCGTTCGCGGTCGAAAAAAGCCACAAAAAGCCAATAAAATGTACTTGGTAAAATAAGTACAAATACACCAGTAATTAATGAGGAAATTGCCAAAATCACACACCGAATGTTCATAAAACCCAACGAAATAAGCATCTGTAAAAATAATGACATATTTAAAAAACAAATGAATATTTGTTAATTTTTTAATGACTAGCAGCGCCTCTAGTGTTTGTTCGCACAGTATAGCTTTTACTTCCAGTCATTGCCATTACAGAAAATGTTCTAAAGGGGGATATTTTGTGATCACAAAAAAGTGTCTCGTGTCAGCTAAAAATCAAATTATTGACATTTTTATTGTTGATACCTTTGAATAAGAAGACTAAGGAAGGAGCATATCAAAAATCTTAGGTACACCGCGATGGGCCTCAAATATGGCCGACTTAAATTCCGGTTTATCAGTGTCGTTCTAATTTTATTTAAAAAATGTAAAACTATGATGTAGGGTAGACGTGGGGTAGACTCAATAATTTGTTGTTTTATTTTACGTTGTGAATAAATGTTCGTAGTTATTAAAATTGTTATAAAAATATATAATTCTAATAAAAATAGATAAGTTATAATAAGTATTTATTACCACAAACATCCGATACGCTACTGAAGCAGGTAAGTCAAATTAACGTATCTAAATTCTTTGAAATCTAATCTTTGACAAGTAATAAATAAAGGCTAAAATGCAAGAAAAATATATAATTTAGTTAATTTAAGTGAATTTCATAAATGATCGGTTTACTACACGTATGTATATTATATAGTCACTTACTAGCGAAAAGTTGTTCCATTATTTCACTCAATTTTTGCCGAGATCTACCGCACGCTACACAACCAACTATTTTAGAGTCTTTTTCGATAAATCGCGATAGTGTCACTGTTGATTTAAGTGCTGCCACAATTTCCATCTAGATTTACTACCTTTATACAACTATCAGTAGTAGAATAAATAATAAATAATATAAAATAAGCTCCGTAAAGACTAACAAATCCACAAAATTTCAAATCAAATTCAAATGTGTCAAATGAATCGTCAAACAGAACTGTCAAGGATCCCCACCCTAGAGTGCTTTTATGGTGCTTTTTCCGCCCACCATGCATGAATACATGGATAGCATTATGCTCCTTCCTTAGTCTTCTTATTCAAAGGTTGATACTGACAGTTTTGGAACTTTGCGCACTCTGGTGGTTGGGGGAATAACTATTTTAATGAATTGTCGTTTCCATTTAAGTTTCCCAGCTATGGATCATAGATAAAAAAATAAGGATCTATTGCCATGGATTGATAATTCAATGTCAGTATTAATGTCGCATGCCTTTTATATCTTGTAAATCAATTAGATTTTCATTCTCAATATTTTTATTCTAAATCTAGATTCCGACCAAGAAGAAACCGTCGACGATTTTCCTTGTCAAAAGTGCGGCAAATTCGACCATCCCGAATGGATCTTGCTCTGCGACAAATGCGACAACGGCTGGCATTGTTCCTGTTTGCGACCGCCCCTCCTAGTTATCCCCGAAGGCGATTGGTTTTGCCCTCCGTGTCAGCATATATGTTTGCTGGACAAGTTACAGGCGAAACTCGCCGAGCACGACAGATTGTTGAGCAAAAAAATCATCGAAGACCGGCGAAAGGAACGATTGGCCTACGTCGGAATCAGCCTGAATAACGTCTTGCCCGCGAAAGAACCCTCTGAGCACCGTAAAAAGAAGAGACGACATTCTGCCGAAGAAGATTCTGATTCATCCAAGGGCGAGTCGAATTCCGATTATGACTCGGATTCAGACAGCGACGACAGCGACGAACCTATATATCAGCTGAGACAACGCAGGCAAGCTAAGAGCTACAAATTTAACGAGTACGACGAGATGATGAAGACAGCAATTGGCGAGGAACTGGACAAACCGGAGGACACGGCCGGTAATTTGGGTAGAGGCAAGGATATACAAACCATCGTCAAAGGCCTGGAACCCGAACCCAAAGCGCGGGAGAACGAGGGCAGAGCCAACATCACCAACCTAAGAAAAATGCTGAGAAAGAAACAACGCAAACTAAACAGCCTGGACTTTGACAGCGAGGAAGAAGACATATCCGACGAAGATTTCAAGGGATCTAGTTCCGAATCGGAGGAAGAAGAGGACGAGGATGAATCGGGTGGGTCTGAAGACAGCGACGATTACGTCGGGAAAAAACGAAGAAAGAATTTACCGACACGCAGATCGACTAGAGCCAGGACGAAGAGATACGACGAAGATTTCATCAACGACAATTCGGACGACGACGCGCCAAAAAGAAAAAAGAAGAAATCTATTTGGGATGAATCAGACACGGAGGAATCCGATGCCTCTGGATGGGGTAGGAGTAGAAAGGGAAAGAAAAAGAAGAGTTCTGGAAAAGATAAAAAGAAAAGCAGAAGAATAAAGTACGGAGGATTGACGTCCAGCGAAGAGGAACTAGGTAGAGGTCGTCGAACCAGAGGGAAACGAGCGACTTACGTGGATACTTTGGGCTCGGATAGCGAAGAGGAGGAGGTGACCAAGAAGCACCCGAGAAGGATAGATAGTGACGACGACGAAGATTTCGTCGCGAACGAAGAAGAGGATGAAGTGGAGGATGAGGATAAGGGTAGCGAGGAAAATGAGGATAATGAGGAGGAGGCGGAGGAGGATGAAGATTCGGAGAGGGAAAGGCGCGAGAAACGGTCGCTTTTGGTTCCGAAAATTTATATTAAGAAGCCGTTGGGCGTTCTTAAAGCCAAGGAGCCCGAGGTGAAAGGTAAGTCACAGAAAGATTTTTTTTAAATTTTGATATGATTTTAAAGAAAAAATACACCACAGGAATAAACTTAGTTCCGGTTGTTCATTCCCGATTTAGAGTGAATTTAAAAATTTTAATAGGTTGTCCAAACTAGCTAGTCCGCTCGCATACCCAACAATGTTGCCGTTTGTTGTCCCTTAATTTCACGATTTTAATTTGTCAGCTAAACTAGAGACGTTTATTTTTACGGTTTATTTCAAAGTTTGATTGTTATTTGGTTTATTTTGTATCACCAGCCATATACAACTCGTTATTGTTAACAATAATGCAATTACAGGGATCTGTCTCAATATCCTCAAGGGGTTCAATCTTATAAGGACAATTTAAAATTTATAAATCTACATTGACATATACATTTCAAATTGAGTGACAAAAGGATAAAAAAAATAAACACAAAAAAAATAGACAACAAAAAACAAACAATAAGAAAAATAGGTAATTATTTACATCACAGTATCACAGTTGGATTTGAGTATCACAGTTGGTGGTATATATTAATATTTTTCATAAATTTCAAAATATATTTTAGAAAGTTTAGAACGTTCTTAATAGTAAGATAAGCAGAATATTATATAAAATAAGAATAAGTGAAATGAATACCAAGTTTTGTGCGTTTTAGTGTAGGTAGTTTATTCTGTTATAATTATGACTAGTGGGACGTAGATTCACTAGAGATTTAAAATTTGTTTAAAAATTAAATTCAAATAGTTTTATTTATGAAAATATATGATATGTACTTTAATAATAAAAAGAAAACTTTTGATAATGTGCTAGACCTTAATTTTGTGAGTGAACGTTAGTCAAACCATAAAGAAATATTTTTATCTACTATTTTTGAATTCAAATATTATATTTTGTTTCTAAACTACTTTTGATAAAGTATTATTTGATTTATATTTTCACTGAATTTTATTCAGAGCAAACATTACTCAAACCATCTAGAAATGAAAATCTCAAAGATTGCAAAAAAGCTGATGAACTTATTTTATGTGTGAAAATTCCTTAATACCAATTTATCTAATCAGTAATAAAAGTCAATGTATAAACAATGTTCTTTAATTTTAATTAATTTTGTAGCAATAAGTTAACCACTATATGGTTTTTTGTCTGTTTCAGACGGTTTAATAAACTTTCTGTATGCTTTTCTCGGACGTTTTTTTGTGCTATAAAGTCTTATTCTTTGTCGAATAATATTTTTGTTGCCTGGTTTCTTTGGTTCTTTATTAAATTGTGTCAAAGGTGGTATATCTGTATACTGGAGAACTTTTAGTGTTGGTCCAATAGCAGCAGCAATCTTTTCTATTGCTTTAAATTGATTTAAGTTTTCGATGCTGAGAATTTCTCGTGATATATTTTCCACCAGTTCTTTCTTTTTATCACCAAGATCATTGTTATCTCTGCTGTTGGGCGTACATAGCGTAATTTTTTAAGCCTATTGCTAAGATTCACAATAACGACTATAATTCATATCCTAAGACATTGTCTTTCCAGATTTATATACTTTGCATATAGAATACTTGAGCAATTCCAGTTCAAATATATATTATATCTATATTTGTCTGTATTTATATGAAATTAAATTATATTTTTATAGGTGTAGCTAACGATAAGGCGGCGAGCATCCCCACTAAACCGGTGAAGCCGAAATTGGAAGAGAACGACAATCCTGTCGTCTATATCGAGAAGGTTAACTTGAAGGCAGCTGAATCTAAGCAAAAAATTAACATAGTAATCGACGAAGACTCCTCCTCGACGGTAGAGAAAGATATTACTCCTGTCACTCCCACGAAACCTGTCAAAGACAACGTGGAAAAACCAGCCGTCGAACTCATCTCCTTGAGCGACAATAAAGCGACATCTATTCCAGTGGTAATAATATTAAATTATTTACTTTTTATTTATAATGTCAGGTATAATGTTTCTGGTATTAGCAATTTGAATCAGAGCAAGCAGGTACCCACTTTTATAAAAGGTCTGAAACGGTGGCTATTTTATTTTTCCAAAAAACTCAGCAATCCTTGATATTTTTAAAACTTTTTTAATGGCATCTTGATGAACATCCCAAAAGCGCAACTTTGCCCCAATTTAAAAAGAAATATTTTCAAGAAACAATTTACTTTAAATATGACTTGAATATTACTTATATAATTTATAATATTCTTTAATAATTGTTCTTGTAGGTTTTGGGTAAGAGAGGTAGAGATCTTAAAGAGCCTCTGGAAAAGCACGAACCGATCGTCAGTAACGTCAGTGCCTTAATCAAAAATGCTGACGAGAACGACGACTTGTCAGAACCTCCGGGAATATCCCTACCCTTTTTCGACGACATGTCGACCAGCGGTTCTAGCAAGGGAAAAGACGGCTCCGAGGAAGAGGTTCCAAAGAAAAGACGAGGTAGAAATTTAGCTATTTTATTTTTATGGGTTTTTAAAAAATGTTGTTTTAGGGTCTGTGCAAATTAAAACTGGCGAGGTTACGATCACTGTCGCCAAAAAGCAACCCGTTAAAGCAACCATGTCGGATTCTCCGAAGATTGAGATAGCTGCGCCACCGCAACCATTTTCTCAAGCTCAGCCAACTCCGTCAATTATTACGAGGATGTTACAGGTTTGACTTGATTTTAATTATAAAAACGAATAACTAACTACAAAATAAATATTTTTACTAAAAGCGTGTTATTAAAATACCGATATAAAAATATTTTTGATTCCATCTTTATAGTGCTATTATTCAGTGCTGACACTTGATGTTTTAACTAAAGTCCTTAGATAAAGTGGATTACCTTAATTGACTATATTTTGACTATACAGGGTGAGTTTCCTACGATGTTCTCTATGGGTATCTCGGAAACTACTGGGAATAGAAAGTCAGTTAAATAGGGAAAGAATTGCAGTTTTGTGGGGTCATAAATATGCGCCTTTCAGATTTTCGAAAAAGTTCATGGCTTACTAGATATTTCGAAAAAAACCAATTTCGGCCATTTTAAAAATTGTCCCTAATTCAATTATAATCTATTTTAGACAAAAAGTTTTCAGATAAAAGTTGTAGATAATCACATCCTTAATGAGATTATGTCCTCCGTTTTTTTCTAAAGCCTGTCATTTTTGACATATGGCACAAACATGTTTTTTTAAATGGAAACCATAGTTGGCCATGACTTCATAAAAAGCGCCATTTTTCAAGCTTTTTAGCGATATAAGCTATAATATGTTTTTTTCGAAAAATTACTGAGCTATAGCCAGTTCTTATCATTTTTAAACAATTTCACTTAGTTAGCCATGGAAACAAGTTCAATCGCCGTTGCTCTCAGAAATGTGAAGCTGTCACATCCAAACTTTGTAAATTAAAATAAACAAAAATTGTAAATATGAATTTTTCAAATGAAGAAAAGCGTGTAGATACTCGCGCATCAATAGTGGTTCCAACATGACTTTCATTATGATCCCCCTCCCCACCCATAATGAAAGAAATATTAAAAATTATTTATATTATAATTATGCAAACTCAAGGATAGGAAGAGGTGAGGTGGACCAATTAAATAGGCCTCCTCCGATCACCTGACCTATCCATTTTAGATTTTTTTATGCGGTATGAGTAACAATAAGGTTTACAAATAAACTTATGAATTAAGAGTGGCACTCGAAGAGGCGGTATGAGAGAAGTTTAATTAAGTCGATCGGTCCTTCTGTGAGAATAGGTAGTAAGTTTTAAAAAAATGCAACTCAAAACAATGGCGGATTTTTTGAACATTTTCTAAAATAACTTAAAGTGTATGTAGTGATATTATATTTTTAAGTTTTAGTTTGTGTAATGTAAATTGTAAAAACCGTTTAATAATATATTCTGACTTTTCATAAGTTATAAATCATAACAGAATAAGAATACCATGCAATCTCAGTGAAATTAGTCAATAAAGATAAGAATTGGCTATAACTAAATTTAACTTTTCTAACATGTCTTGAAAACCGTTCTCTAAAAAAACGTAACATTCACCGGTCAACGTATCCTCGAAAATGTATGGTCAAGAAAAGTTGATCCAATAATTCTACACGCTTTTCTTCATTTGGTTTGGTTTGGTTAAAAATTCATATTTACAATTTTTGTTTATTTTAATCTTTGAATAAAAAGACTAAGGAAGGAGCATATGAAAAATCTTAGGTAGACCGCGATGGGCCTCAAATATGGCCGACTTAAATTCCGGTTTATCAGTGTCGTTCTAATTTTATTTAAAAAATGTAAAACTATGATGTAGGGTAGACGTGGGGTAGACTCAATAATTTGTTGTTTTATTTTACGTTGTGAATAAATGTTGATAGTTATTAAAATTGTTATAAAAATATATAATTCTAATAAAAATAGATAAGTTATAATAAGTATTTATTACCACAAACATCCGATACGCTACTGAAGCAGGTAAGTCAAATTAACGTATCTAAATTCTTTGACATCTAATCTTTGACAAGTAAATAAAAGCTAAAATGCAAGAAAAATATATAATTTAGTTAATTTAAGTGAATTTCATAAATGATCGGTTTACTACACGTATGTATATTATATAGTCACTTACTAACGAAAAGTTGTACCATCATTTCACTCAATTTTTGCCGAGATCTACCGCACGCTACACAACCAACTATTTTAGAGTCATTTTCGATAAATCGCGATAGTGTCACTGTTAATTTAAGTGCTGCCTCAATTTCCATCTAGATTTACTACCTTTATCTACTTTATCTACTATACTACCTATCAGTAGTAGAATAAATAATAAATAACATAAAATAAGCTCCGTAAAGACTGACAAATTCACAAAATTTCAAATCAAATTCAAATGTGTCAAATGAATCGTCAAACAGAACTGTCAAGGATCCCCACCCTAGGGAGCTTTTATGGTGCTTTTTCCGCCCACCATGCATGAATACATGGATAGCATTATGCTCCTTCCTTAGTCTTCTTATTCAAAGATTTTAATTTACAAAGTTTGGATGTGACAGCTGAGAGCAAAGACGATTAAACTTGTTTCCATGGCTAAGTGAAATTGTTTAAAAATTATAAGAATTGACTATAACTCAGTAATTTTTCGAAGAAAACATATTATAGCTTATATCGCTGAAAAGCTTAAAAAATGGCGCTTTTTATGAAGTCATGACCAACTATGGTTTCCATTTAAAAAACATATGTTTGTGTCATATGTCAAAAATGACAGGCTTTAGAAAAAAACGGAGGATAAATTCTCATTAAGGATGTGATTATCTACAACTTTTATCTGAAAACTTTTTGTCTAAAATAGCTTATAATGGAATTAAGGACAATTTTTAAAATACCCGAAATTTGTTTTTTTTCGAAATATCTAGTAAGCCATGAACTTTTTCAAAATCTGAAAGGCGCATATTTATGACCCAACAAAACTGCAATTCTTTCCCCATTTAACCGACTCTCTATTTCCAGTAGTTTCCGAGATACCCATAGAGAATATCGTAGGAAACTCACCCTGTATAAAAGCGATAAATTTTTTATAAGCAGTAACCAAAAACACTTTCGACAATGCTGAGTTGATGATTCATAGATTAATAAGTATTAACAAAAAAAATTATTCAATACAATTTTTTCTTTCTTTATTTTAATATCTTTTCAAAAAGTTGTATTAAATTAACCTTTTAATAATTGTTTAAGAAACTTGTGACTCTTCAACGTTGTCGAAAATGTCTTTTGGTTGCCGCATATAAAGAATATTTGGGTCCTATTTTTAAATTTTTATATTATCTAGGGTTTTTTTGTTTAGCGACGTTAAAAGCAGCGTTGTCGGTAGAAAATAATATTCCTAGTGTTTTAAATGTTTCTTGTAATTTTTTGTGAAATATTAATTTCAGTCGAAACCAGGACAGGCTACGGTGTATCCAGTGGGTAGCATTCGGCCTAAACAGTTCGCAACTATGCGTGACGACGATTCTTCTGACGAAAGCCCCAAAAACTCACGTGATTCTTCACCAGCTAGGACAGCCCCAATGAATACGTCACATGTTCCATACAATATGCAAGGTACCCCTTCTTTATGATATTTATTATAATCTGATCTTCAATATTTTTATTTAAATATCTGTATAAATGTCAATCGAACTATGTGGTTAATGTTCTTAATTTTTATATTATTGATTATCTATTTTCCATAGCCAGGATCAACTCTTTAGGGAAAGAACATTGTCAATTATTGTAGTATGCCTTTCGCTGCTGTCATCTGTCATAATAATGAACGCATAAACTTATCCTTCTTGGAAATAAATCTGACAATTGCCTCGTACGGAAGCCATTAAAAAATTACATAATAACAAGAATATTTAAAAAATCTGTTATCTTGATTTATTATAAATATTCAAAAAAATCAAAATATGAACGAAAATTATAGGAAATCGCGGTGCTCCGTTTCTTAACATGGACACAAAAAACGCAGCAGTGTTCTGTCCAGTTGTCAATAAGTGTACGCTGTTACTCATGAGTATTTATGGGATTAAGTAAGGCGCTTGATGCATTTTAAAGAGCTTTTTCCATTGGTCTAAAATCTTAATAACATTTTTTCTTGTTAAATATTGAATTCAAAATTTTATTAAGAAACTTTTTAATTTTTAGGAGGCCTAAGGGGACCAATGAGCGGTTCTTACCGCCCTCAAGCACCTCATCATATTGGAGTTAACCATTATCCCAGAGGCCTACCTCCACGTGGCCCTCCTAACACTCATATTCCTCGCAATACCCATGCCGCACCTCCTCACATATCTCATTCCCCCTCCCACAGCAGATTACCTCTATCTCACGGTCCACGGACCCTACACGGACCTCCAAATCGTCATGTATTACCTCCTCAGTCTGGTGGACCACCACAATCTCAATCTCCACACGGATTGCCACCTCAAACCCGCGCTCCGCCTCCTCAGTCACGTGTCCCGCCGCCGCAATCACGTGCGCCGCCTGCGCAAACACGTGCTCCTCCTTCACAAACGCATGCTCCGCCTTCCCAGACACATGCTCCACCTCCCCAAACACACGCATCTCCTCCTACTCATGCTCATCCTTCTGCTAATTCTTATCAGCATCACAGAGCAATGGATCCGTCCCCTTCTGGTGGTGGGCCTATTAATTTGGCCGATCCTGAACCTGCAGGACCTCCTCCCGTTAGGTATCCTCCTGTTACACAACCTCCTCCCGGTATGGCGCGTCCGCCTATCCATATGCCTCCCCATCAAGCACCTTACCCCCCACCCCCCTCGAATAGTAGCTCTAGTGAAGAACAGTCTTTGACTCAGCCTCCTCCTGCTGAAGGTTATTATGGGAATTACCCTCCAGCACCGCCGCCGACAGAAGATGCTTTGCCACCCGCCCCCTATGAAGGGTAAGTTTTTGAAATTACTTAGTAGTGATTGGAAAAACCGATGAATTTCTACTATAATCGAGTACTCGAGCGATTCCAATAACACTGCAAAAATAAATCTGCAAAAAAGATACGTTCTCGAGCTCCGGCACTATTCCAGGTGATTCTTAAGCAAAATGACGGCCTGAATCCAAATATATCCTCCCGTTTTCTCCTACCATCCACCATCTTGTCACGTTTATTAAAATATACACGGTGTCATTAAATAAGTAACAGATTTATTTAACTTTGAAAACTACAAAATTCGAATACGTAAATTTTTCTATTTACAATACGGTATTTAATGATTATCTATAATAATAATATTATAATATAATAGCTCCCGTATATAGCGTTTAACGCCTTGGGAGTAGCAAGGTACAGCTTGCCATACTAGAGCCGTTCGGTATACAAGGAAGGTAATGTGACTAGCACTACGCTTCAACCGCCTATTATTACCTCAGGATTGTGAATCCCAAGTACTCATTTAAGGCTGAGTCGACCTAGGTACCCAAACTATTTTGATTTTATTAAAAATAGTCGGCTGATGAAATGCCGGGTGTGGGATTCGAACCCACTACCTTGAGATTGGTAGACGAGAGCCTGAACCTCTACGCCACCGGGCACCTTATTAATGATTATCTAACTGCTTAAATATACAGGGTGGCTCTTAAATAAGTGCAAATATTTTTAGGGCTCGTATATTTCTACCGCAGAAACACGTCTAAAGTAATCGCAAAAAAATTTTCGATGCACGTGATCAACTTTGAGTGACAAGCGATGGTGACAGCGCTGCCAGATTGTGATGGATTTATGAGAAGAATCTTGGGACACTTGGGAAACAATATATTTATTATATCATTTTTTAAATATTTTTACGTTTTATTTTTAATTTAATAATTAATATTTTAGCAATTAATGGGTTTATTAACAGTAGTCACTAACATTCACAGTAGCAATATATTTAAATTTAGGGCAGCAGCTACTCGCTACAAATCGAAATAAGTAGAAATAACTTTGAAAGTGGTATAATGTGCTTACCAATCAAACTTACTTCTCTGACTGCAGTCAAGTGTAATAAAGGACCTTTATTTTCACGTTCTCGTTCAAAATAGTTTATCAGGAAAGCTACAAGCTCTTTGCTTCGACTGTTTAAATGCTTCGGCATATTTTCAACACACAATTTCAAGAAATGCAATACAAAAACTCAAAATTTATTTCATAAAAGAACACTTTGTGCTTAAAAGTACAATTAAAAAAAAAGATTATGAAAATCGGCAAAAAACAAGAATTACTCCCATAGATTCAACAAGACGATAATATACAAAATAATAAACGACAACCTTGCTGATTGCGGTGCAATGTGACCAACATGGCAATACTAAAAATCGCTTTAAACTAATTTGTGCAGTTTTAAGCTCTAGATAAATTTATTTCGATGTCATTGGTAAATATAGTAATAGCAAACATTAGACCAGTGTTTACAAGATCAAAATCGATTATCAAAATATAAGTCATTTACGGCGTAGAAAGCCTTATCTAGTAAATAAGATTTCAATGCTTTGCGAAATGAAGAAAATGATGTTATAGACTTGATTTCAAATGGCAGGTGATTTTTTTTTGAGTTGTATAATATTGAACTTTTGTATAATATTGAACTCTGAGTGTGGGGTAGGTAGATAAAGATCTTGTTCCGCGTTCCTGAGTGTATATGTGTGAGATGGCCTTTCTTGAGAAGCTGATACATGCTTATGTATTAGGCAAACGGATTCTAATATAAATAAGGAAGGAAGAGTTAATATTTTTAATTTTTTAAAAAAGTCCTTTCAATGAGTTCTGCGTCCAGTTCTAAGTCCCAGTGAATATCGAACAGCTCTTTTCTGGAGCTTGAAAATGCGGTCAAATTGAGTCGCACAACACGTACCCCAGAATGGAAGGGCATACCTGAGGTGCGACTCAAAAAGTGCATAATAAACAGTTCTAGCCACTGACAAGTTGAGCTCCTTAGGAACAGATCTTATAATGCAAAACAGGCAGAGCTTAATTTTTTGGACAAAGCGTCGATATGCATGTCTCATTTCAGAGAACTGTCTACAACAAGCCCTAAGAATTTTACATATTTTACGACGTCAGTGGTGGTGTTGTTAAGTACAAAAGGCTGCAGCGAGTTTTTATACGACAAGGCTTTAGTTTTAGAAATGTTGAGACTCGAATCAGAGGAGGTTCGAATGGCACCAACATTTAATTGTGATTAAGTCATTTGATTATCCTATGAAGTGCCGTGACGTACTTCTTGCTCCATGTGAAGCTAGTGTCGTCCGCAAAAAGACATATTTTAACACTGATGTTTATGTTAGCAATGTCGTTAATAAAAAGAAGAAACAACATAGGGCCTAGTACTGAGCCTTGTGGTACTCCACATTCTATTGGCTTGCTAGAAGACAACGGTGGTATCCACCCTCACAAGTTGACTTCTTCTTAGATACGACTTAAACCATTCGAGAGATGTTTACCTGAACCCATAGTGCTGCAGTTTATCAATTAGGATCTTATGATTTACACAGTCAAACTGTTAGATTTCGGTACGGTAAAAATTATCAGTGACGCAAAATTTGTAAATTCTGTCAGAAAAAAATGATAATACGGTGTACCATTTACAAAATTTGAGACTATTTAATTTTAAATAGTCGACATTCATAAATCAGAGCTATTATCTCGCAGTTGAGCGAGTTTACCAAAACCATGTAACCAGACTGTGCGTATCGCTGCCTATGATCGGCCGTCGCAAAACCGACAGACTACGGATAGCAACGAGGCTCCGTGGGTTGTCTCGCGAGGCTCTCGCTAGACCCGTCCACACTTAGCAAATTTGGAATATTTCACGCTTTTCTCGCTCTTGTCTCGCTAGGTCTGGACGCACCTTTACTGCAACGACTTTATGATTATTTAGTAAAGCTATATTTTACGTGTAATATTTTCTCTTAGAATTCCACCGGAAGGCGATTCGACTTATCCGAATCAATACGGTGGAGAGGAACCGCCAACGGAGAATCCCCCTTCGGACAATAGCAATAGCAAGCCGTATGACGACGAATCGGGTGGCGAGTTTGCGGGGCTAGCTTCGTACTTTTCCAGTCAGAGGGAGGACGATCTGGACTCATAGTGGAGGACAACGCCACGCTCCGAAATTATCAACGTAAGTAGTTTTCAAGTTAAAACTGCTTTTTTTCATTTGGTTAAAATTTGTTTAAAAAGAAACTCTGTACAAGGTATCCCAAATTCGAGTTTCATCATTGGGATCTTGGAAACTAGAAGAGGTATGAGCAGGGTGCAAAGAACTCGACTTTTTTTTATCTTAACCAGATTTTTTTTATTTAAATTAAAAAAACATTACTTAAATCGGATCTCCAAATAACGACTAATTTCCAGTTAAGTTTCATCTCAAATGGCTAAATCTTCGTAATTCTGCCGTGTCGTTTTTCCACATCAGTCACCAATAATTTTATTCTGTAAACTTTGTCGATGCCATTTCCGCCAAAAAAGTCGCCCGCTTAGATCAGAGAGATTTGGTTTGGAAATTATCTTGAGTCGAAAAGAAATTAGTCTCTAAGGAAATTAGTTCGAAATTAGTCGAAAAGAAATTGTTCAAAGTATAAAGTACTTAATGCAGTAGAAATGGAGAAAGAACTATAAGATAAGTTGGAGAAGGCAGAAGTTAGCTTATCAACTACATACATATGTTACGCTCAATAGTCGAATTCGGACAATGCCCGAAAAAATACGCAAATCTAGTTTTGAGCAAGGAATATTTCCCAAAAACCAACTAACCAATGAATTAACACCCTCCAAATAACCACGCTAACCAACTCGCCAAATAACTGAACCAATCCAACCAAAAAGAGTGAAACCAATGCAATTAAATCACACTATAAGCAAAAAAAAATGAATAAAATTAATATTTCGGGTTTGGGAAATATTCCTTGCTCAAAATTAGATTTGCGTATTTTTCTCGGGCATTGCCCGAATTCGACTATTGAGCGTAACATACAGGGTGGTGCACTTCATTCGCCTCGGTTGATTATACGAAAACGGAAAAATGTAGAAACAAAATATTTTATGGGTATATGTGGGAAGACAATATGCATAATTTAAAAATATTTTGAAAAGTACAGGGTATGTCAGAACTAAGATCCATACCACAGTTATATATTTCTTCTTATGGAACACCTGGTATTTTATTTCATTTTTGGATTCTTGGACATAAAATAAGGCATTTAATATAAGGGTTTAATATGTTTAAAAGCTTTGGTTTTTGAGATATTTAAAGATATTTAAATATGCATGCTATAATAAAAAAGTTTGTCAACACCTTGTACATTACTTTTCAGAATTAATTCTTGTGCTGACTTTTAAGCCAGAGAAATAAACTTTACTAAAAAATTTATCTATTTTACCTTATATATAAAAAGGGGTATCAAAAATTGCTGGTCTATTTTAAATATTTATTTTACATAAAAACTTTGTTATTTCAAATGTAACACTATGTATTTTTTTTAAATAAGTTGAAGCAGATTTAAATGCTCTTTTAAACTATATTAGGGTTTCCTATACCTATCTGGCTAATATTTTGAATGAAAAGCGATTCTTCAATAAAATTGTAAGCAAGATGGCTGGTGTCGCCATGGCAATTTTCTAGTGACACTTAGTAACAAAGACATTATAAAGATAGACCGAACATCTCATTCATAAATACTCGTTGGTAGTGTATCAAACATTCCAATGTGTCAAACAAGGACAGAAGAGACAGAGAAGTCTAAAATTTCCGACCCCGGCAACTAGGCGCATTTGGATTGTTCTAATGGCCAGTGGCGTATCGTTTTTTGGAAGGAATTTAATTAGTAACGTAAAAGTAAAGTAATTAGTAAAATTTTTACTCCATATTAATATACTACATTAACACTTTTTCGTCAGATGAGTTTTGTTATAAGGTCTAATATAATAATACAATTAATATCCCACATATACTTATGTTGAAACGTTAGTAGTTTTCGAAAATCGGTCCAACGTCGATTTTCAATTTAAACTTTCAGTTACTTCTATATAAACTTTCAGTTACTTTTGAATATTTACAGGGTGACTCAGGCTTTCGAAACAGTTCTATATTAGGTTTGTGGTTGGTGACTTTTCTTTCAATTTTTTTTCAGAATATGGAGGCATTTAGCCACATTTTAGACATTTTTGTAAACATAGGTGGCCGAAACATAATTTCAAACCAAAGTTGTAGATTTGCCATTAAATTTCCATTCCAGAAATACCTAGGGTTGCCACTTGTCCTTTTTTGAAAAGGACAGTCCTTTTTTGGAATAACTTGTCCTTTTGACTTTTTTTGACTTAAAAAGTCATTTTTATTACGTATTTTCCCTGAGAAAATTATGTATCTACAGCAAACAGAAATGTTCTGTTCGCCCAAATTTAATTAGGAATGTTATAAAACTTATAAATAAATTTTTCTTGTTTAGAATAGGCAACATTATATAGAACTTCCCGTTTAATCTCAAATGGGGATTTTCTCCCATTTTTTCTATTGTTTGTATCAAACTAAAACCTCTGACGAGGGGTAGGGGATAAAAAACTCACAATCTGTTAAGATGTTTATTTAAATTTAATTTGCTTGAAAAAAAGAAGGGGGCGACATGTTTCGGGACATAACAATTCCCATCTTCAGGCCCAAGAAAGACAAACAGTAATATTCTTTTGTTATTCTTCTGTTAACGTCCATGTTTCCGCTCCAAGTAACAGATTGCCCTCGATTATTGCATCATAAATTCTTAGTTTTCTGTCTACCTATTTCGTTACTCCAGAGTATATTATTCAGACATTTTATTGCATTTCTTGTCTTACATATCAACATACAGCCCTTTCCAAAAAGATATAAAACAGTCTTGACACCAGCATATTTTCCGACAATGATTATAGATCCTCGGGAATGAAAATACAGTTCAACATCTTTAATCTGAATACACCATAATTGGAACATCCAATAACCGGAACTAACTTAAGACATTTGAATAAATATTTTCTAAAATCTTCAAATTTGTTAAAAATAATCATAACTTTAATATTACAGTTGAGGGTTGGAACCTTTGGTGTTAAACAGCAAAATAAAAACACTAAATCACCACAATACACCAAAACACTTTTACTTTTACACTGGACGCGCGTTTCGCTGATCTGCTGATGATGCTAACATGGTTAGCGAAACGCGCGTCCAGTGTAAAAGTAAAAGTGTTTTGGTGTATTGTGGTGATTTAGTGTTTTTATTTTGCCATAACTTTAATATAGATAACTTACTGAATAGTGCAGGGGTGTTTTCCAGAATATATATTTTATTTGAATTTCCCTATTAAATTGACTATTAAACTGCATAATTTCATATTTATTCCAGAACTTAACGAACTTTTTATCATATTTTTATTCTATATGAATTATGACCTTGCGATTTGTCCAGTTCTTTTATACCAACATGTATTCAATAATAATAATTTTCAAAGTCTTATTATTATATAGTGTATCACAAAAAAATAAATTTTAATCTTGAGTTTTAAAAAATGCTTAAATATGCATAAACTTTTTTATATCTGTTATTGAGGTTAAAGGTTAAAGAAATATAAAAAGATTTACTGCCACTAGGCGCCCCTTTGAAAAATATATAGGGTGGCGCATTAGTGCGAGGAAGTCCAATTTGGTAGTTGTTGACAAATGAGACTGAATTTTAATTATATTGTAATTTAATTATATCAAATCAAATTCAGTCATAATGAAATAAAAATGAATTCGTGAATATACGTTTTTCTCAAAAATCTTTTAAAATATTTGAAAACATTTAAAATTTTAAGGCGGCATTTTGATCAGCTTCAAATTGCGCAACTTTGTCTCTATTTAACTGACCTCATTTCTTCTACTTTTCGAGATCCCTTTAATGAGGCTTGAACTTGGGACAATCCTGTATTATGTCATATATTGATTAAAATAAATATAAGCGTTCTATCCCTTTTGATTCCATTTCTTTTAGCAGGTTCCTTAAAAGAAGAAACTACTACTACCCATCTCTAATGACTTTACCGATGAGCTAGTTAATATAATCTTTTTATTGGGTGAAATATTTATCTATATTAATTTATTATTTCTTAAATATGTAGGAGAGTATTAATTATTAATCAGAAAAGAGAAAATGTACAGTAATCTTACGACATACCTAATACTTTTTTAAATATGAATTTTTGTACATAAAATTGTATATATTATATGATTTTTTTAAGTTAATAGCAGGTAATAAATGTATTATTATAACCAAATATACACTGTATATTATATTATACAAAAACATTTTTACAAACTACTTGAACCAAGTTCAAATTAAATACTTGCAAGGGATTGAGGAAACAATCTTTATATTATTTTTTCGCTATTGAGAATAAATTTGCTTGTATGTATATTTTTTACAGGAAAATGAATTGTTTATGATTTTATTTTCAGGGTGAACGTTTGTAGAAATGTAAAAATTTTTAGAATAAATAAACATCACTGTTGTGATACTGTGAAGAATTTTTATTTACCTTGTATTGGGGGAAAATAAAGCAAATACATATATGAATTGGGAAGGAAATTTAGATATCTATGTATTGATAAACTAGAATTGAAAGGGGGCTCTATACAGAGTTAGCTGGAGTGTGATGCAGAAGCAAAAGTGGGTGGGGAAGAAATGTAACGGCGGGTGATCTGTCCTTGTCATAGTGTCAACAATATTAAGTCATCCATTATCTGCTATTTTCTTTATTTAGCTGTATTTTTGTGGTCTAAACTTATGGTTGTCAGAGAATATATTGTATAGAACTTCATAACTTTTAATTAATTTTATACTTTTGAGATTTGTTTGAGTCATTATTTTTTGAATTATATGGATTAGGTTCATTATTTTTATTTAATCTAATAATGTTGTGTTTTAGATTAATGCATAATTTAAACTTTGCATAATTTTTAAATATACAGGGTGGTCCGAATTATTCCGGTGGTTCGGTAGCATATTCTGCAAATAAAAATAAGTAAAATTTTTTGTATGCCCTAAAATGCTTAGTTTCGGAGATACAGGGTGTAGAAGTTTTATTTTGGTTTTTTTCCAAATAATTTCTGAACTAACGCCAATATTTGGATGAAAATTGGTGTCTGGAAGTTTTTGACGTGTTGATTTGATGTCAATATAACTCCTGTTTGTAGGGGGTGCCACCTACGTTTGTTTTAAGTCTTTAGAAAAGTAATAACTTTTCGCCCTTACCTGTATAAAACTACCTAGTAAAAAAATATACATTTCCGTGTTTTTTTACGTAAAAAATGTCTCTTGATAAAAATCGCTACGAGTAATGGTTTTCAAGATATTTAGAATAGAAATAGTCAATACATGTCATTATTGACAAAATATAAACATGTTGAGAGTAGATAGTTTTTATAAATTTGGGAACTTTTTATGGGGATAAATAGGGAACTAAATTAATCATAAATTTTTCTTCGAAAAAATGACGATAAAACAGTTTCTGTTCAACTTTTGGCACAAAAACATTTCAAATTTATGATTTCAGTCTAATAACTATTTAGGCAACATGTTTAATTTATGTCAGTGATGACAGGTATTGATAATTTCGATTCTAAAGTGCGTCTGGTGGATCTGTGTCTATGAAAGGAATGCGGACAAAAAACATTTAAATAAACAGCAATATATTTTATACGTTGACTTGACGAGTACGTCACCGCAAATCGCTCCGCCCACTCATTTTATTGGCTACTTGCAAATTTGTCGAATTTTTATTGATGGGACGCGTCGTCTATTTTTTTACGAAAAAGTATATACCATCTATGTACAGGGATTTCACACACCTCGTTCGTTAAAAGTGTTTTAGGGTTTAGGATCTTTAATTTAGACACAAATATAGTTTATTGAATGTTTTAGGTTAAGCTTTGCTCGAGATATCTATCTCGGGCTAAGCTAACAGGAAATGCTAGCTGCTCAAGGCGTAGTGATAGCACTTCCGGTCTAACCCGGAGTGATATCAACTTTATTATATTCAGTGGCGAATCCACGAGGGGGGGGAGGTGCTTTGGAGCTCAAGCCCCCGGTTTATGTCCAGTTATGTAATACGATATTATTAATTCATTATGTCAGAAACGACTCCGGGTAAACAAAAAAAAATATATTTATTTAAACATATAAACTTAGGAAAAGTTGTCAAACTGCTGAAAATTGTATTTTTATTACGTTATGAATGACTACAATATGTATCGAAAACAATGCTAAACAATCTTTATCTTAATTGTCAACGGAAATATTTAAATTTTTTTCCTAATAATGTGTGTCTTCCGTGGTTTCTACCTGCGGTTGCTACCGCGGTTGCACACCGATTTGTCATAGACTATATGGGTCTCCGAATAATCTCTTGAGGAAAGGCGTTCCACTCCTCCCGAAGATTTTCTCCCAAAGTTTGAAGATCTGGTGCTTGTGGACGACTTTATAATATAGTCTCCTCTTAAGTAGGTCCCAAACGTGCTCAATAGGATTGAGATCAGGGCTATTAGCAGGCCTATCCATAATTGTGATATTGGACTCTTCAAAGTATTGAGTAACTATTCTTCCAGTATGAGATGAGGCATTATCCTGTTGTAAGATGAATTCTGGACCATGCTGAGCAGCAAATTGAATAACATATGGTTCAAGAATCTCATCTCTGTATCGTTCAGGATTAATTAACCCGTCTAGAAACACGCGCAAGTCCGTACGCCCATTTAAATTTTTACCTCCCCATACTATGACGGAACCTCCACCAAAAAGGATCGCTTCTCTGACTTGTGTCTAGATACCGTTCATTCGGTCTTCTGGAAACTCTCCGCCGGGCATCATTATGACTTAGTCGAAAACGGTACTCGTCCGTAAAAAAGACGTGCCTCCATTGATCCACGCCCCAGTAAAGATGTTCTTGAGCAAAGATCCTTCGTGTCCTACGATGATTAGCAGTTATATGCGACACAACAACTGCTCGCCTTGACCGAATATTAACTTCATGCAGCCTATTTCTTATAGTCTGAGTTGAAATTCCAGTTCCTTTAGCTATCCTAAGAAGATTTTGTAGGTTTCTTTCAGGAAGAGTGGCTTGAACAAGATACTGATCTTCCCGCCTCGTTGTCTGCCTTGTCCGCCTTACCCGTCTGCGGACAATAAAACCATATTCTATGTGTCGATTCCATAGTCTGAAAATGACCGTCGTTGCGACCGACCCTCCTGCAATGATCTCGTGGTTCTGATTGGACTTCTTCAGTATTTAAACACCTTCTAACACCGTTTGGTCTTCCCAAATCATTAACTATTGCCATATTTAACACCAGTTTTGACGATCAAGAAGGCAAAATCACACTATAAAAGAAACTGATTTTATGGAATGAATCCGCCCCTGATTATATTTTATGAATTTTATTTGATTCAGTACGACAGTAAGCAAATGTTGTGTATAACATCACATAACTAGATTAGATTAGATTTTTTGAGGCTATTGGTTGGTCTATTTTACTGCCACATTTACAGGTAGGTTACAGTCGTATCATTTTGCCAATGCCAATTGCTTATCATAAAAAGAAAATACAACTTGCTTCTGAATTAAAATGACAACTACAACTGTCACTGTCATGGGTCCTGTTGGGCAGACAATAAAACAGTACATTTGCCAGGCTATCGCACTGACATAAATATTTTTTGCCATTTCTTATCCCCTGATAAAATCTGCAGATGGCTTTTTTCCGTCAATCTCATCAGATGTCTATTGAGCTTTCAATGACCTGTTAGTAGATCCATAAGAGTTTAGACTTCTCCTGTATTTGCTTATCAGGTCTGTCCTAAATTTTGAGTATTCCAATAAATTTTTTCGTCTGTTTTGCTAAATTTTTCAACTATTGTAGAAATTTGTTGGGGGCCCACTATTTTGTGGCCCTTATAATTGTTTTTGCAGTACCTGAAAGGGGTTATGACAACTACAACTGTTCGCCAGGTGTATCCTCGGCTTATGAGTGGTGTTAATGAGCTCTGTTTGGCCACTTCGTCTGCCTTTTTGTTGCCCCTGTGACCCTCGTGCCTCTGTACGCAGGCTAACCTAACATTGCTATATTCTTCCGACGTATTTAGAGTACGAACATAATCTTGCTTCTATACAGGGTGGCGCCTCTCATACGCCGCGGAAGTTCCAAGGAGAACGGTAGTTTATATCGAAATGAAATTTTGGCAGCATATGTTAACTGAAAGCATTTTATAAAAATATATAGAATTATACAGGGTGTCCCCAAAAAAAGTTACACATCAAAGTTGTGTTTTTTGTAATCGAACACCCTATATATTAATTGATTTTTGGATTCTAAGAAAAAATAAAGGTGAGTTTTATTAAAGAAGTATATACCTAAAATCTAAGGCTTTTGACATATTTCACATTTTTAGAAAATGAAGAGTAAATTTTAAATTTCGATAACAGCTATCTAAATTTTAGTTGACTTTGTATAGCCTGATATTTAATTACAGTAACCATCGTATGTTAAACCAAATTGAAATTTGATCCGAAAAGTTATACAGGGTGAGACAAAATTAATATGGAAAATTAGTCACATTTAAAAGCAAGTTACTCCTTAATTTTAAATGGAACACCCTGTATATTTTTCCGGTGTTCAATGCGGAATTTATAAATCTTTAAAATATTATTAAGGTTGCCTACCCCTCAGACAAAGAAATTCATAGATATTTTAATTTTTATGATTTTGCGTCAGTAGATCTTTATTATTTGAAAAAATCTAGGGTGGCTGTGTGATACCTTTTGTTAATTTAACAAAAGTTAAAGATTGTAGAGTAAAATACTCAACGGTAATATAAAGATACACGTTTAAAACATATTTTAATTATTACAGAATTAAAACTAGATATAAACCTATAATTATGTGACAAAAATTAGCTAGATGAAATCAAATGCTCAAAATGCTTTCTTTCCTGATGTTAACTGCATTAAATGATTGTCTTTTCAAAAGGATCTTTTTATTTTAAAAGGCATATGTGGAGTTCTACCTCGGAAAGCAGCTACAATAATTTCTCTCATGTTGTCGACAATAGTTGGTCGAGTTTTGTAAACATTGTCTTTAACATATCCCCATAAAAAACAGACTAGATAAAATCAGAAGCATTTAAGTATTCTATAATAAAGTAAGTATTTAAGTATTCTAACTAATAGAATCATATCAATTCTCTCTGATGTAGGATAAGTTTGCATTTTCGGCAAATTTCTGATAATTTTTTTTTGTTTTAACTGACACAAAATGATAACTAGTTGTTAAAGTTGGACTAATTAGACAGCTATGTTGAAGTAACGTCAGACATATCACAGCCACCTATATTTTGTCAAATAATAAAGATCTACTCAGATCAAATCATGTAAATTAAAATATCTAGGAAAACCTTTGTTTGAGGGGTAGGCAACCTTAATAGTATTTTGAAGAGACACGAATTCTCCATTGAATGTCGGAAT